CATAACATCTTTTTTATTTGGAGTTTTAAACCTGCAGTGAAGAGACAAAATTAACTACTTCACTTAATTCCAGACCAGAAGCAGTGACTTAATATGTCAAAATGTACGATGTTAGCATCACTTTTCTCTTTGAAGTGTATGTTTGTTGCTTCTTAAAGCGGGAAGTGGGACAGACGCTTTCTTTACTTCTGGTGTGTCCAGTCCTCCAGACGACGAACGACTCAATATTTCAGTAACCTTTTTCCCCAAGATTTAAAAAAAAAGTAAATAGAATGAACCATAGGCCGATCTTGATAATAAGCAATTTTAAAGACTAATACAAGTAATGACTCATTTTATGCTCGCTTCGAAAAAAAAAGAAAAAGAACTTAAAGTATGCTGACTATACCAGCAGTGCTAGTCTTATAAAAAGTGCGAAAATTATGCCCGTTTGTTCAAATTATGCTAAGCATTATGCTTGCATAATCTATATGGATCCAGTTTTGAGGCAGATGCGTTAAAGCTCTAATGCCTTTTATGACGAAATTCGTTCACTTTGCTTCCCTGTTTAAGACAAGTAAAATGCGTAAATTATAGCATTTCTCCTAACCGACCTGGTTTGGTATATTCTGGTAGGATATTCGAGGGGCTGGATTTTCAAAAAAAGACCAGAACCACACTTGCGTACCACCTCTGCTCAAACTCTCTTGAAAGAAGCTGCCTTAATTAAAAGGCTAAATCAAAACATTTCATATTCTCAAACCATACCCTGTTTTGTGATACATACACGTTCAGACCACAAAGGCCCCACCCAAATTTAGACGAATTCGTTTCCATAAGGTTTGGAAACGTCGTTTCATGTGATCGAATTTCAATGCGATTTACATTCTCCATTGTCATAATTATAATCGTACTCAAACCTAGAATGTTGTATGTTGTCGTTTCTGAGGCTGAAAATGCCTCAGCCTTTCGTATGCGCGTATAATACTGGAACGTCGTTTGAATTGTTTTACTGGTTATACTATACATGAAAAAAAATACGCGCTTCTGGTTGCATGAAAACAAGTGCATTTTTCATGTAACATGAGTGCAAAGTTATAACTCGAGTGCAAATTGCAAATAGCGCACGTATGCTGTCAAAATTTCGTCTATCTTGAATTTTTGTGATAGTTTTTTTTATGTAAATTGTTGAAAATCTCTTCTGCTTTTACATTTCAAGTAACAATTTTTCTCTTCCTCTCCCCCCTTTGTATTCACGCGCGGTGCGCGTCATTCACAAATTAGCCAATCATGTCAAAGAACCCTAACCTTGACATTGGAAAACTGACGTGGACATATTTTCGCGTACTTTTCGTTTGTTTTCGCGGGGTTTTAATTGGTCGTTTTTGAGCTTTCGTTCGTGTAAATTTGTTACTCCTTTGTTTGGAATTTTAAGAAATTTCGGGGTTTATATTTCAGCCAAATTCTGTGGTTCAGTTAACAAGTTTAATACATATTTTCTACGGAGTTTGGGCCCCAGCCTCTTTTTTCGTAAATAAATAATTTTACATAAATAATTAATGGCTGATTACATTATTTCTAGTTTAATATGGTGTAAATAAGCACCTGTCAAGTTTTCAAAATCTACAAACCGCTCCTGCCCTACGGACGGGAGCAGTTTATTGTCTTTGAAAAATTTACTCGTGGTTTTTAACACCAAATTGCAGTCGAAATCATGTAATTACCTATGTTTACATTAGGCGACGAACACAATGTCTCGTAGGGAAGCTCTCAGCGAAGGAGTTACGAATAAATATTCAATTTCAGAATGATGAGACGCTGAAGTTTCTCCCACAGCTGGGGAGATCAAATGTTCCGTCTGCCTTCCAGGAGTAAATAATTCAGTTCGCTTTGTGCATGTCCATGATGAGCCGTTTCTGTGACAATTTACAGATCGGAAACGGTTATCTATATTACCGTAAAAACAACTGAGAACTATATCTGAAAAAGGCATAATGAGATAGAAAAAGGTTATAAATGATCACGATATTGCCTCAACGTAATTTTCGTTGAACTCTAGAAAATTATTCCCAAATTTACAGACGGTTAAGCAACCAAATATGGTAATGAACGGTGGCGTAATTTAAGTTTGATAGAAACTAATTCAGCTGTTCACACCTCCTGGGTCATTTCGCTCAGAACTTCAAGGCTTTGAATTTGCACCAAGATCAAACGATTTGTCATGAAAGCTCTGGAGAAGTTTTGTGACGATATTTCTAAATATTATCCCGAGAAGGATGAATTTTACAGCTGGTATGTATTGCTTTGTGTACTCAACGCGATGTTGGCTCTTTCAGCCACATTTGGGAACATTATCATCATCCGCGCGCTGACGAAGACTACTTGCGCTCTATGTACGTCAAAGATTCTTCCGCGTGGTTTGGCATTTACCGATCTTGGAGTTGGTTTAGTTGTGCAGCCGTTGTACATATCTGCGATCGCTGAGATACTCTCGAAAGATTCTGTTTCGTCTTACGATTCTGAGTGCAATACCAAAATTGCTTTCCTCGTCTTGGGAACGTTTCTAACCAGTGCCTCATTCTTCATTGTTTCAGCGATCAGTTTTGATCGCTTCCTCGCTGTTACTCTTCATTTACGCTACAGAGAAATCGTGACAGAGAGGAAGGTAACCATTACCATTTCTGTCTTGTGGGCGCTTAGTGCAGTTACCTCGGTTGGGTATTTGTTAATCGGAGATATGAACAGAGAAGTTGTTTCCATTGCCTTCACGATCAGTTTCCTCGTAACAACCACTATAACTTTTGCTAAAATTCATCTCGCTGTCCGCCGTCATCGTTCGCAAATATCAGCGCAGGAGAGAACCTTAGGCAAAAATTGTAAAGACCTGACTTTAAGAAAAAGAAAGTTTAAGTCTGCTATGAATATCTTCTACGTATATGCTGCCTTTGCCGCTTGTTTTTTGCCCTACACCTGCACCAAGCTGGCTATAGCCACAACAGGGCATAATCTCGTTTTGAAAGGAGTCTTTCATTTTTCAATGACGTTGGGACTTCTTAACTCGTCTTTAAATCCCATAATATTTTCCTGGAGAATGGAGGAGATCCGAAGAAGCATGCTGGAGGTATTGAGGAGGGTGTTACCTTGTCTGAAGTTAGCTAGAGTTGTTCAACTGCATCCCCAACGAGAGCTTACCATGACGTAATGTGAAGACCCTTGTCTAAAATTGGAAACAACGTAATGATACGAGAAAGAAGTCATTTCCATCGTGAAAGAGTACATGGTTCAAATAATTCGAAAGGAAAAATTTGAACTCAATACAATTCTCATTGTCGCGGAAATTACTCCCATTCGAAAATTTCTCTTACTCGTGATTTTTTGTATTTTAGGGGCATCTGCTTCATGACGGCTCAGTCATTAAAAAAAATACTTTTTTTCGGATTCAAAATGAACCTTTTTTCCTGCTTTAAAGCAACATCTGGCCTATAGAAGGTTTACGAATTAAAGATGCTAATTTAGGAGCTGGTGAAAATTCCCTGTGAACAGTAATTTGACATCCATTTGCCTGAGGGAATCTTTATAAACAATGTGGATGATCAAAACTTATCTAGTCGAAAACAAAGAAGATTTGAAAATGTTGAAGTGGCTTTTCGCCATGCACAGACGTCAATAAGGAGAGACGTGTATTAATTTAGGATTCTTTTCTAGGCGACAGTCAGTTAGATATAGCTAATGAATAGGGGTACAATAAAATTACTGGATGACAAGGTCAATAGCTTTGTTTTCTATATACATATTTTCATATCCAGTGATATTGACAAGAAAAGCTTAGCCAATACTTTTGCGTCGTATACTGCTTTATTTCCATCAAGGGCAGCTGATCACAACTGAACAAGGCAAAATTGCGGTGTTTTCTTCTTAGAATTCGGCTCCTAACACCTTGCATTTAATTTTTTTATGAAAGTAGGGGCTCCTGTAACTTATCATAACTCTTCATTAATTCATCTACGGTATAACAGTTGCTTAATATAATCTTCTGAGATGTGTATCGCAATTGCCTCAACCCATTTCCTGTGTATGAAACTTGAAACACCAGGAATTGTTACTCATCGGCGAATTGCTCTCAGTTATGCAAATTGAGCGCGAATAAATCGAAATTCAAATCCAATATTATTTTTTACTTGAAAAAGAAAAAAAACTTTTTTGAAGATTAAGTAGCACAATTTGCGAAATTCTAAATAGATACACTGTAGCCATATATATTCTGATTCATTATTCTCCGTTCTAGCTGTTGTGCATTATTTTTTTACAAGTATTCCTGTCAAGAAAACACTCCCTTGCGGAGAAAACTGTCATTCTATCACATGTCAGCTAAAATACATTGATATAGTAAATGCAGGTTGTATGTTGATCGCTTTAAGAAGTCAAATTTTCTCGTAAATTCCCTTAATGATTTCAATTTGCAACATTTACTGTTATTTATTCTGTTTTCCGTCAAGCTGTTTTTCAGTTACGTTTGTTTTAGTCAAAAATTGTCCCATTTATCAAAATAAAAATGTCCTCGTGCGTGTAAATAGTTATTGGCAATAAAACTTGGGAAATTTCTTTTGAGTTTCGAAGTTCTCCTTCGATTCAGGGGTAACCCTTTACCCAGACATGTTTAAACTCCAGGCCTCAGTCATTCGAAGGTCAGATGACACTATGCACTGGATAAATCTCTATCCGGTGGATAACACAGTACGTTTTGCTATCACTTACCCCCTGGATAGTGATTTATCCGTTGGATATATAGCGTTATCCGCCCTTTATACAAGTGGGCCCAGCTGTACAGTTCGAGAGATAAAACTTGACGTCGCATTGAGGGATGCCGTCAGAGTGAGAGGCGAAAGCCTTTAAAACGTGGAAAGGAAAAAAGCTAAGCGTGAAAGCATTATGTTCTGTGGTTTTCATCTCTAAATCCAAACTCGCTAAGGAGCAATTTCTTCCCTGAACCCCCATTAAACGGCTCACGCTCATGGATCCATCTAAAAATATCGAGGAGACATCGTCTGGTGTAACTTCCTTTGCCTCTCAAAGTCGCTCTTACTTAAGCTCGGTGGGAAGGCCTGGCGAGGTGGCTGACTTGGCGTCCTCCAATGTACAGAATGGCTTTCTCGAGCTGGTTGTCTTGGAACACTCCAATTAAAAGAACCGATTTCTTCGGCTTGAACAGTATTTAGAAGCTTTTTATTTTCCACAAAACCAAACTCTGAAAGGTGTTTCTCTTGGGTAGTCTTAGGAAATCCCTTGAAGATTGTCTCTATTGACTTCCTCAATTGAACAACCTCAGTGTTTGTACTTGTTAATAAAAGTTTTTCAACTTGTCCTAGACATGATTCCATAAATTTTATGTGTTTGGTATTATCAGCAATTTCTTCTTTAAAACTGCTGACTGATTTGCTTGTCTGTTCTTCTGCCTCTTTCAACATTTCTGTCTTTTTCAATTCTATAAGCTTCATCAAATTGTTTGCTAACGCTTCTATTTCCTTAGCAACAGTTGTTCCTTTTTGTACCAGTTTATCGCAGTCTGCCTCAAGTTTCTTCACCGTGTTTCGCTTTGCTTGCAAATCGCTTTTTTGCTGTTCAATCAGGGCTTCAATATCGGCCCTTTGTTTTTCGGCCTCATCATCTATGTGATCAAAAGCGTGGCCATTATGGTTTAAAGTCACGCAGGTTTGACAAACAGCTGTTTTACAGTTCTTGCAGTAATATTTCAGTTCTTCGTTCTTGTGTCGTGGTTCGGGACAAAATACAGGCCGTTTTAACACATCCTCGTAGTCCTTGTCTTGAAACTCTTTCAGCGACATGACGCGGTGATACTTATTACTTCGCATGATGTTGTGTGCATCTTCGCACTTGGCGCAGTAAAACAAACAACACTGAAAACAATAAGAACTTTCGGAGCATTTCTTCTCGCAATTTCCACACGTTACATGGCTGTTCTTGCACTCTTTTATGGCCAGTACATCAATCAAGCCGTTTAAATAAAAACTCGTCGGCAGATCTTTCAGATTGCCACTTCTGGGCACTTTGCTAATTGCTAGACACTTCGGACATTTGATCGTGTCTCCGCCATGCCTGCCTTGTTTTCCATCGCTTCTTCTTCCGTGCAATTGCTGTAAGCAGCTAAGGCAGAAACTGTGTAAACACAAAAGCTGTTTTGGATCGGTGAAGATGTTCGAGCAAACTGAACAAGACACCTCCTCACGAAGGTTACAAAGTAGAGTTTTGAATTCCATGTTGTTCTCTAAGGAGGGATATTTGAGGCGATAGCTGTTTCAAAAATGCTCATTGAGATTTGTTCCGTGTTTTCTTAGAAAACCCACTGCGCGAAAACTGGGGCCTAAAAATGCCTGACTATTTTTGCCTAGCCTATTCGTCTCTTTAAATGCAGTTTTTATCCACGCATAGTCAATAGAAATGAATGAATTTTTATAAACTCCTGAGTTAAAAAATAAAAATGTTCTGAGAGAAAGTTTGAGTTAACACGGCCATTACATTTTGTTCAACAGCTGGGAACGTCTTCAACAATGCATAATGTTCCTTGATTTCTAAGAAAATCAACGGCGCGTGAATTGGAACTTTGAAAAATTTTAGCACCGCCTGACTCTTATCGCCCATACGATTATACTTTGCAGTGGCAGCTGGCTTATAGAAATGAATTATTTATTGTTAGCGTTTGCTGAAAAAAATAATTGTAAGAGCAAATGGTGATAGAAAAGCGACTTTTGGCAAACCCAGGCCATCTTTAGCCAAGCTCATTTAATAGAGACAGAATGCCCGCAAGCTCTCATGGACGGTTTTCCACAGACAAATGTGGTCATATTGTGAAAAAAATGCCTGCATTATTAATTGGAATCAGAAGACACTTTTTATCTGATAAGACAAGTTGACGAAAAATGTTGTTACCTTACAGTCGATTTGGATACAGAGTGTAGAATGAAGTTTTTTCTTATATTCCTTGACATGTTTCTATAATACAAGGTCTGACATCAATGAGTATCAGTAGATATCTGTGTGGTGAGGGTACCAGTTTATGGTGAAACGGAATTAGGAGAGATGGGTAATTATAGGTGGTTTATTGGAGCTTTACAAATTCATCTTTTAAGGTAAATCAGATAAAATTTAACAAAGGTATTCGAAAATAAGACTAGTTTAAGTGAGATCCATGAAAAACTCCTAACAAAATTTAAGAAGGCTATATTCTTGAGTCTGTTCATCTTGCAATCGAGAATGTGGCGCCTGAGTTCATTTCTCAGAATTGAAGAAAACTACATTTGCTTGCTTGACTTTGGCCAAAATATTTATCATCTGTGAAAAGGATTATATCTGGTGTCCTACAACATTTTGTCCTTTAGAGCCTGTTTCTGATCAATTTCAGCTCCTCGTTCTTGAGTCATAACTAAGGACAGAACACAGGCCGTTTTAACACATGCCCGAGGTCCTTGTCTTGAAACACGCCATGACACGGTGATCCATATTACCTCGCATGATGTTGTGTGCAGTTTCGCATCTGGCGCAGTAAAACAAACAACACTGAAAACAAAAACTTGAGAACTTTCGGAATATTCCTGCTCGCAATTTCCATACGTTACATGCCAGTACATTAATCAAACTGTTTTGGTAAAAACTCGTCGGTAGATCTTTCAGATCGCCTCTTCTCTGCATGAACTTTGCTAGTGGTACTTAGCATTTCAGACATTTGATTTTTCTTTCCTGCCCTATCTTGCTCTGCGTCATTGCTGTAAGCAGCTTAGGCAGAAACTGTGTTAACACGAAGGCTGTTTTGGATAGGTGAAGATGTTGAAGCATGCAGAACAGGAAACCTCCTCACGAAAATTATGCAGCAACGTTTGGAATTCCATTTCGTTTCCTTTTGAAATGTACTTGGAAAACGATAGTTGTTCTCTGTTTTCTTGGAAAAACCACCGCGCGTAAACTGGGCTCCACAAATTTGGGAAGGCCTGACTATTTTCGACCTCGCTTAAGCCGCTTACAGAGGCTTACAGCAGTTTAGACACAAATGGTAAATAATGAGAAAATTTTTATTGTAAGTCCTAGATGAAAATAACATTCTGAGGTAAAACTGAAGCAAAAAAGCAAATTTTTGTAGTTTCAGACCTTCATTCCGTTAGATGCAATTTTATTAAAACTTTTTCTGGGAAAACCCACCGCGTGTAAACTGGGAACTATATATTTTGGAACGCCTGACTGTTTTCGCCCCTACGTGTATGTTTTGCAGTGGTTAATCCACGCGAGGCGTAAAGAAACGGAGAATTTTTTCGTGAGTCTTTGCAAAAAAAATGTTTTAAACGCAAATAATGGCAGCAGATAAGCGACTTGCTACAATTTCAGGCCATCTCCAGCTAAGGTTGTCTCACGGGGAAAAATATCGGCAATCTCTTTTGGACAATTTACGACAGGCAAGTATCTTTTAACTACATGGGTAAAATTTCCGCACAGCCCCATACTATTGTAAAACAATTCTGTTTTCCCAACGGTAATGTATTGTTTTTGTCATTGTTTTCTCTATCCAAGAACTGAATGCATAATGTAGGATGGGGCTGTGCGGAAATTTTTACCTATCTGTTAATTGGGGTCGAAGAAAATTTTTTAAAATTTAGATGCGATTTCGATTCAATGAGCAACCTTGTTAGGTCGTCATTCGACGTTTACTGCCGTTAGATATCCAATCCTCGATGGAAGTAAGGAGACCAGTTTCAATAAGATCGTGGGGATCTATATAATCGTATGGTTATGGTCAAGCGAAAAATGTTTAGAAGCACTTTTCTTACTACTGGTTGAACAAGGAGATACATCATATTATCGAAAGTGTAATGAAGCTATACAGTCGCAGTTCTTGAGCTATATCGGATGAAACTTTACCAAAAAATTCATAAAATAACAAAAAGCTATTCTTGGAAAAAGGGTTAAGTTTCTAAGGAAGCTATGGCTCTGGGCTGGCAGGGGTCAGTATAACAAGGTTATTTGGTTTTATAAACTGAATTGATAATATCAATTGGCTACTGCAAAGAGCCTCTAAAGCAGATATTTTGCATGTCAGCCCTTCATCAGAACAAAGCCTTTTTGCCCTTGTTTGCCCGTCACTCTGACGAAGGGCTAAGGCATGAAACATCAGCTTTAGCAACTCTTTATGGTGACTACTTTACACTATCATCTTGGTTGATAAAACAAAGCTATTCTTGATTCTACTTACTTTGCAAATAGGATGTGATATCTTTGATTAGTTCTCAGCCAAAAAATTTAGGTATGGGGCTCTGGCAAGACTCTTTAAAATTTGTGATCAAGATTACTACTGAGGACCTAAAACATATCAAAAATTTGAGCTGTCTCTGATTAAGGAGTGTGTCTCAACTGGTGAGCACTACTTCCTCACATTAGGTGACATCCAGGAGAAAAGTTTTTACAGCATACCTCCCACTTGTTTGACAGTTAGCTTAGGAGTAAATTATGAAAAACTGGAGAAGGGCACTCTCTGATAAGTTCGGTGCATGTTGTGTAAAAAGTTATGAGCCACCAGTAATTTTTGCATGAGGATCAGTTGGAACTAAAAACTAAGAATTACGGCAATTGTATCTAAATGCTTTCCAGAGTTGATAAGTGTAGTCAAATTTATTCAAAGTCTCATCCAAAATCAGTGTTGAAATCAGCTAGCTTATTGGCCAACTCATGTTAGGTGAACAAATAAAGGTGAATTTTGTTGAGTGTGTTGATACAGGTTTCAATCACTATGTTTTTGAAAATTGGAGTCGCACACTTCACCAGAATAAGCTGTATTTGATTGAAGCTGGTTTTGTGTAAAAATATAATTGAGGCCAAAATATTTTCAAAAGAGAAATCAGCCCTTGATTGTTTTTGTAGCCAAAAAATGACAAGCTTTACAATCATAAAATTTGTGGCTTTGAAAACATGTTATTTCAAAATATATAAGATTGGTGCACCATTCAGGGTGTTTTTAATTGTACTTATCTTCATTTCCAGCATGGAATACTTGATGTGGAACTTTCTGGTCCACCATCATGTTATGAGGTGGAATATCAGTCTCTTCTTACTCTGGATGCCCTAATTTTTATTGTGGAGCTTGTTAGACATTTTGACAGCAATGTTGAACAGGTAGGTCTTGTCATTTTGAGGTTTGTCAGGTGATCAGTAACTTTCCTTTCTCTAAACAACTTTTAACAATGTTATTAAGTTATTTTACTGACCACTCAGCAAACAAAGGATTTCTGGTAATCAAATTACCCTTTCCATTAAATTGAAAATAGAAGTATTTATGAGGGAAACATTTTATGTAGCCTTTATACAGAGTAACAGTTTAAAAAAACATCACTTACTGATACAGTAGAGAAAATAAATTCCCTCTAGGATCCCTTTGCATAACTTGAAAATTCAAATTTACATTTTTTACCGAAGAGTTTTTGTACCTTGATAATGAGTTGATAGTCTTGCATCTTTTTTTAGTTCCTTTTACCTTTCAAAGAACTGATCATTTTTAAACGATTTTTCTGTACATATAGATGCTAAGATATCGCAGCATCAGGAAACTGACTCTACTTGACTCAGGAGAATTGCCATTCTTCCAACCACAAAGTGTAGAGGTTAGGGATAAAACCTGGAGGGTGGCACCTGTACCTTCCAGGTTGCAGTGCAGAGTGGTTGATGTTGGAGACATCTCCCCTGCTGATACAGAAATGTTCATGAAGGCTTTAAATTCACCAGCTTGTGGCATTCAGGTAAACTGCTGAGTGATTTGCCTCAATCTATTTAATCCTTTCTCTCCCAGGTCTTATTAGTAATTCTCTTCACTGTCTGCCACACAATTCTTATGATGTCAGTTCTCAGAATTTGGTACAAGATAAAGTGGTAATCCCCAATCTCTAATCTCATCTCTTTTGTTCTTGATAACACATTGTGCTGATGATGTAAGGAGAAATTTTGTCTTGTTCATTCATGGAAGTTAAAGGGTTAACAAATGATGAAAGTAGGGAAACTTGATGAGGAGTGAAGAAAAAGATTTTATAGAGAGGCTAAAAAATTATAATGGATGGGAAAAGAAGGAAAATGTGGAGAAAGAAAATGAATGAAGAAGGAGAAAAGGAGGAATAAAGGGGATAAAGAACAGATGGGGGAAAAATAAATGAAGAAGGATAAGGAAAGAAATGGAAGAATGACAAGGAAGTGTGAAGTACTGAGACAGAAGAAGGTTGGATTCAAATTAAATCTCCAGTGGAAGGGAAAATATGACGATACATGAAGTAAATTTTTAAGAATGGGGCAAGCTTCCAACATTATATTTGATAAATGCATGAATGAGTAGGTATTACTGCTAAATGAAGGGAACCCTGAAACCACTGCTCTCTTTGAACAGATAACTTATTAGTCTTTTTATTTCTTGTAGACTGATCTTGATGATGGCCATTGTCCTTCTTGGTCAAATCAGTTAAGAGGCCTTTATAACATCTACCAGTTTGTACGTGGTAACCTTAGGGGTTAGTTCTTACCAGTAGCTAATGTGCTTTATAATGCTTATGTTTCAACTGTCTCTAATATTTTTTATTTCTGTGTGATGTATGTCAGAAGTCTCAGTTATCCAATATAATTGTTTTTAAATGAAGTGGTTAGTGATATTATCAGTTTCTACATATGGGATTTAGATGATTTTACCCTTTGGTTGTGAAATTATTGAAATTTTTAAACAGGTGTTCCAGTGATGTCTGATGCTCCTGTTATCATGTTTCGACCAAGAGCATGGAACATGTTTGAATTTAATATGATGGTAAGGACTACTGCCATGTGTACAATTTAATAATGTGTGTGCTCTGAGGCTCTGAGTCAATCATAAGATGGTGAAGATAGCAACCTCTGGAGAAAATTGATTTTGGATTGCATTCCAACTCCTTGTCAAATTTGTTCTTTGACTTCCTTATTTTAGTCTCTTGTTGCTAATTGTAGTTGCTTAAATGGATGTGCATAATCCAAAATCTTGAAAAAGGACAAATTTTTATGATGCTTTGGAAACAAAAACAGAAAAAACATCTGAATTCACTTTAGCTGGGAGATTTAACCAGCTGCCAAGGACTACTATTTACTGGCTTTGCTTTGTATCAGGGAATGTGGGGAAAAAACACTGTTTATGGGTTACCTTGAACAGTCTTTATGTCCTAACATCAGTATGCAAGTTCTCCCTACTGTTCTCTATACATTTCCTATGGTACTCATAATGAGGATTTGTCTAACCAAGAATTTCTCAAGTTTGGATCATTTCCTGTTTTCTTGTGACCTAAATGTGTGACTCAAGTGTGATACTGTTGGGAGAAACTACTTGCTTATCACTCTTAGGGGTTGAAAGGCTGAAAGACTTCTGCTTCAAGGAAAACATTCCATCCTTGTGCCCCTCTACTATTTTGAGTTCCACTTTTTAATGCAAGGTGTGTTGGAGTGTATTCACTCAATTTGGGAATGAAAAACAATAATAAATAGTTACTATTAATTATTCTTTGTAGGTTGGAGGAAAGGTGGTGCCAGGTCCATTGTTTGATTTTGGTCTTCACATGTTCCACAACAGCAAACTTATGATCAAAGACGGGAACGGTCCTTTCTTTTACTTACCAAAGGTGATCTGCCGTGTCTTTGTGATTGGGAACCCACTCTGTAATGAGCACCTTCCCCTGTAATACTTGGTGAACCTGTGTTTCAATACATCTAATAAGCACCTCCTTCCGCACCCCCCCCCCCCTCGTTGTTTTCATTAAAAAGTATTGATACAGGATAAAACTGCTTTTGTTGTCACTGTTATTTTCATTTTATAATGGCATTGTGACGTGTAAGAGAGTAGTTTCGTTTTTGTCAAGTCATCCCCAGTATCTTTCATGGACTATAGCGTCAATTTATGGTCATATAGACGGACGCTAAATAATAATACAGTTACAGTTTGCTGATGAAAGAGTAAAAGGATTCGATCAACGTTTCAACATCCTGGGTGCCATCCAGTTCAGCACATGAAATGATTCATTTTTTAAGTCAACAAGTGCCCTTCTCGAAAATATCCCCATGCCCTTCCTTTAGTGATAGATTGTGCAAGTAGTTGTTTAGTTTTTGCTCACTGCCCATTAACTAGTCTGCTCTAGACGTTCGGGTGGTAAAGCGGAGTAAAATACTGAATGGCGCGATCGTAGCAGCGGAGTGAGAAACCAAGAGAAGTTTGAGACCGGTCGTGACCCGATCCAAACCTCTCCTCCTTTTTCCTGCTCTACTATTGCGCACTACACTATTGCGCTTCGTTTTGCGAACTGAACGCCTGGAACAGGCTACCCAGCCAACACACTTGTGAATCAATGGGTACTTACCAGCACCAAGCTTTCAGAGTACTTACAGCCTTACCAGGTTTCTTGGAATTGAAAAAAGCCTTTCACTCGCTTCTCTGTAAGAAACTGGGGAAAGTATAGCTGCTGAACAAGTTAGCCGCTCGGCTCAACATTATATTTCTGACTTTTTAATTTTAGCTTGAAGGATCCAATGAAGTGAAGTTGTGGAATGACATCTTTGTTTGGACTCAACAAAGGGTAAGTCGTGAAAAACTAGAGGCATATCGTAATCTCCGTGTAGTTGGTCGCTCGTAAAGGGAATGTCTAGGCATTATTTTCAAACACTGTTTCAGACCAGTTTCACGAGAAAATTTGCGTATGAGGTTTTCCATTTGAAAGGCCTGTGAAAAGTATATGAATTAGAAGCATATGAAAATTATTATCCCTTCCATACACTGTTTTTACATGCTATTCAACTCGTTTTTCAAGCCTAATTGTGGCAACTCGGCCAGACGCATGCGCGTAAGAGCCTTAACGGAGATTTGTGACTAAACACGAACGACCCCCAATTTACATGGCCTCTTGGGGGAGGGCTTGAGTTAACAAACACACTAACAAACAAAAGAGGACAGAGGAAAATGAAATACGTACCCAGGGAATGTCGTTTATAATGCTCTATATTCAGTTACATGCACTCTGTACCAAGCAGTACCATTTGATATGCCAATTTTTGTTAATTCGATGACCAAACATCGAGCTCAAAATTTACTCCTTTGTTACATGGAACTCTTTCAACATTAGTGATAGTAGGAGTAACTGTATACAAGATGCTTTTGAGGTCATTTGAGATAAGAATATAAATGATCTAACTCAACAGCGCGGTCCCAAGCTCAGATGATGGTGCATGCGATTTCGAAATCGGAGTTAGTGTGTTTGAATCCTTTCGTTTCCAGTTGTTTACCGCTCGTTAGAAAGTTTAAAAATCATGTTTTAAAAAAGCCAACGTGTTTCTGTCTTTATGTGTTCGTTTGTTTGTTCTTCTGATCATCAGCTCGGATTACCGCAAGGATCTATCAAGGCCAGTGTTCTGATAGAGAGTATCTTTTGTTCATTTGAACTTGATCAAATCCTGTTTGAGCTGCGGCATCACTCCGCTGGTCTGAACTGTGGCATGTGGGATTACTCCGCTTCTTTAATTAGCAACTTTGGTAAGTGAAAAAGTAGTAGCTAATGTCCTTTTTTACCTTTTCACCTTGACATCAGTATGCTTATTCTCCATACTGTTCTCTATACATTTCCTAAGGTACTGACAAGGAGAATTTGTTTAACAATCGAGAGTTTCTTTAGTTGGTGATCATTTCCTTTGTTCTTGTGACCCTCGTGTTCGATTTAGGGGTGATATTGTAAGGAGAAATTAGACGCTAGTCACTGTTAGCGGTTACTAACCGCGACTCAACCACTCAACTCTTTTAGTCCATTTTAAAGTATCTCATTTACCATGTTTACAATCAGTGTTAGAATTTTCCCTCCTTAACCATTAAGTCGTTTTATGCTGTTGGACGGACAATTAAATTTTGGTTTAGCTATTTCTACGCTATGTTATAGTAACAGGCACTTGTTTGTGATAGCTGGGTAAAACATTGTCGTTTCAGGACACAGGGCCGATTTCATTTTGCCCGATCGTAAGAAGTACGTATCTATGGACAAGCAGTACCTTAAAAGTTACATGCAGCTGGTTATTAAGGTACATTACATTGCAATAAATGCCTTGAATTTGGTAGTAATAACGGTCCGTCCATTGATTGAAAAACCAATACCATATGCTTTGTATGCGCACGTGCGTATTTTCCTACTCACGTGTGGTACGCGTAGTACAGGATACGCGGTGCAATAATGAGGAATCACTTTAAAAAGAATTGTGATTCCTTTTCCTGTTGTCCAGACATGTCACGCACGAGGGTGTCACGCAACAGGGGGAATGGCGCCAGTTGTATTACCGAAAGATAATCCGCATCTTCGACAGCAAATCACTGATAAAGTCTGCAGGTAAGAATAGAAATTGAAAACAGATCCTTAGCTCTTTACATTTGTTTACGTAATGGTTCATGTCTAAAGTTCTCTCCAGAGAAATTCGGTCTAACTTTGTCTTGACGTTTTTTTGTTTAGAGCAAAACTGAACGAAATCAAAGCAGGAGCGGATGGATTTTTAGTGTTTGATCCTGATCTTGTGAAGCCTTTGATTCAGGTTAGTAATTTAGTGTGCAATTAAGTCACGTCGACTTTTATTGTTATTTTTTGTTGAGAAGAAGTTTTAAATTTTTTTTAAAGAAACCATTTAAGTGAGCTTGGCGGATGAGTAAGAACAAGGGGATATGCCAATTAACTTTGTTTCTTGTCAACCAATGTTATTTTCAGATGTGGAAGACAGAGGTAAATTCCATGAACCAGCTTCATGTAAGACGATCTGAGCTGATGGTCTCTAGAAACGACCTTCTACAACTACCAAGGGTGAGGATACTGCTTGAACGCGATAATTTATGAAGGTGCTCGAAGTTTTCATTTTAACTTATAGCTTTGTACATTTTAAGGGTGGATTCACCTTACAAGGATTACAGGATAACATTACTGTCGGAATCCTGTTCATAGATGCTTGGTTAAGAGGTATGAGTCTGGTCGTTGCATATCAGAATATTTTAGGCAATTGAATGCAAGGCAAAGCAAACTTCAGCTGAAAGATGGCTGCAGAATATTAGTTTGGTAAAGTAGAAAAACATAACGGAATCTGTGATAAATCAAAAGGGAGCGTGGATTGATGAGGGTTGAGGAGATGGAAGCGGATTACAATTCTTTTGTAGCAGCGTAACCCGTTAAACCCTAATATGGATATCCATATTCTCCATACTGTGCTCTACAAAATTTCTATGGTGCGAACGCGGAGAATTTGTTCACCTATCAAGAGCTCTAGTTGGCGATCATTACTTTTATTCTCGCGACTTTAATATTTGATTCCGCAGGGATACTGTAAGGAGAAATTAGATGCCAATCACTCTCGTAGGGGTCAAAGGGTTTAAAAACAGATTTTGAGATAAGTTGTAAGGCTTATTGCCTATTCAGTATAATGGCCCTCACTCCGGATTAGAGTGCTTTAATGCTAATTATCATTGTTATTAAATATCAGTTAATCAATGTTATCAGTTATCAATCTCAATTATCAATGTCCATTGCTCTGTCTTGCAGCACGCACGCTCGTTTGCCTTAACTTTTGTATGTTGTTCATTTATTCGTACCCAGGCCAGGGTGTGTTTGTGCTCAATGGAGCTGTAGAAGACTCGGCCACTGCCGAAATTTCAAGGTCACAGGTAAGGTGGACACTGTTTTAGACACTACATACACAAGGGGATGATACACTTAAACTTGTCTGAAACATGATCATGACGAATTTCTTAGCATATACCTCCTCCGTGGTACTTTCAGATTTGGCAGGCAATTCGCCATCGGTGCAAGCTGGAAGGAGATGGCCTCATAGTGACTAAAGCCCTCGTTTGTGGTGAAATTAAACGTATCGCAGACGAGCTTGTCAGCCAGAAAGCTTACAACTCTGTTGATACAGAAAGACTTACGATGTCTGCTAAGATATTAGAGGAGCTCGTACTGAAGCGAGACTTCCCTCAGTTTATAACCACATACCTTTATGAACATCAAGCGTTTAGGAACAGCGTGCAATCATAAGCAGTGAATTAAAGGCAACTAAGACTGAAAAACGGCTCATTTCTTACGGTGGGCTGCAACGGTGCTGGTAATCAAGATGAAAGGCCCAGATCCGGTTGTTGGAAAGGCGGTGACTGGAAAAAAAATAATAAAACAAAAGAAAAATCCCTGGGAATCGAGAGAATGGGGGCCGAAACTCTCCCTTCCCTTGGTTTCAAACAGAACGGAAGTGAGTTATCAAGCAGTGAGTTTTAAGCCCCACGCCAGCTTCCAACATCGGCACATGCTTTTTATTCTCCCCTTTAAGATTTTAACTCTGCCGTGCCTTTTAATAGAGTATTATTTAATAATATACTATTTATGGATTTAATGATATTGTTTTACTTTGAGAAATTTAACAAAGAGCAACTATTATGAAGATTAAAGATGTTATGGTATTGGTTTGTATTAATATTTCGAGGTCTTGTGAGAATCCCTCTTTTGCATAGGACGCACGACTTCGGGCCGTAAATCTCTCTTAGGACCGTCATTACGGCGCCTTTATCGGGTTAAAAATTGAGTGAAATATTTTGCATGGCGAATTACCCTACTACACTTGCGCGAGTAGTTTGCGTTTTTGATTGACCCTTCCATTCTCAAGATGTCACCAGTAATTCTCCTTACTCTCTGTTATACAATTGTTATGATGCTAGTTCGTAGAATTTGGTATTAGATGATGATAATAGCATGACTTATATGTCTTTATTTTCATCACTTTGTCTGCTTGATATTGTATTGATATAGCAGAGAGAAATTCTGTCTTCGTCACTTGTGGGAGTTAAGAAACGTTTCTCTCGGAATGATAAACATTATGTGGGTATGTTTAGAATTTCATCTCCTTCAAATTTATTTTACACAGTCGATTTAAAGTTAAATTCAATCTGGTCAGGAATACCCAATGAAAACGGACTCTTTCCTCTATTTTCCTCAAAGGAAGGGAAATTCAAGGATCATTTCGCGTCGATTGATGTCAGTTGTTGTTGCCCGATCAATGACCATTTGCGCGGAATTCAAACTACTTATTTGTGAGTGTTTTACGAAGGGGCATCTCGTTGTAACAGCTTTTTTAGATCACTTTTACCTCAAGAGTTTAGTATTTTCATAAACGGGACATCCGTCTTCTGACGCCCGTCGTATATTACCTAGTCCAACTCTGAGGAAGGAGATACCGATCTCATTCAAATATGGGTCTGTTAAGCTTTCTCTCCTACAAAATGTTTTCTACTGAACACCCTTCTCCTCCTCTCCTCACACACTCGTCATCTGTCACAGTTTCGTAATAAGTACACTGCCACAAAGCATTGCTTGAGTTTTGTCCAAGAAATCATCGTTTTATTGATTGATCGAGATAAGAACGCGCTGTGTCGGTGAACATTAACTGTTATGTTCAAGTGTAATCTTCAGTTCTCTCCCGAGTTGCGCCAAAAACCTATGCAACTCGGGAATATTCATGTTAACTCGCGTCGAAAGTCATCAAAATAGGTCAATCCTCACTCTCCAATCAAAGAAAACCAATCAGATTCGAAAGTTTGGATCACATTTGACGCGACTTGCGTCCGTTTCAAAAGCCAATCCATTCGTGAGCCTGAGTCAAATTCGTATAGGGCCAACCGAAATTATTAAAAGGACGCATTTTGATCCAGACGTTGAACGTGTCTCTAACAAAGTTCCCGGATATTTAGTGGTTTGAGAAAAGTGCCTTTTTTCTGGCTCTACTTTGCTAAGGAAGTCAGCGAAAACGGCTCTGTCATTTCCTATGGAAATAGCCGTTCTTAATTAAGACAAACGAACATAACTATACTCCAAATTCCAGTCATACGTTTCAGCTCATAAAATCTTTGGCGTTTGAAGTGGACCTTAAATGGAAATGTTTAACAATATTTTCTTTAGGCTTGGCGAAACTAGTTCCATCGTGAATCGTTCATTTATTTTTAAAAATAAGCTGCGTTGTGATTCAAATGGTGATAAGTAATTTTTTCGGAATATTTCAAAGAGCTCTCGCCTCCTTCGTAGCCGTTCACAAGATGTCAAACAAAGTTTTCTGGCATACCAAAGAAAAGCTACGAAGGAGGCTTATGGAAACAATGTTTGGATTTTTTACAATTTAACTTCAGCTTTCAGCGTCAAAATCTAAGTTGAACTCGGTTCCTGGTTAATCGTTTCTGCATGGGACAAGAGTCAAGGTGTAACACCTCGCGAGAATTTAGTACAATGTTTGTTGCAATCATTTGTTAGAGCAGCTCCTCCAAGTTCTAAGAACACTTTCGACCACTTTTTCTGAGTAGCCCGTTTCTACCCAACGAAGTGGTTTTCATATTTTGCAGCATTCTTTCACCAAAATACTTAAAATTCTCTGAACAAAGTACATCATGGACTTTTCATCTTCCATTCTCCACACATTTAAAAGGCCGTTGGGCGTGTCTGCATAAAATGGCAGTTTAAATTGCTCAGGTGTTTCGTCATTCAACTTAAGCCACGCCGTCGCATAACGGCTCGCTTGCGCCAGTCTGGACACCGTCTATTCCATTTACATTCCCGACAACTCCGTCGTCTTTTGCGAACACAGAAGCCAAAGGAAATACAGTCCTGCATTTAAGGAAATACTCCCTTGTCAAATCAGTGCACTCGCCAAACGTACCCTCTAAAAGAGCGTTGTAAATCATTGTGCAGGTCTGTAAGACAACAAAAACAAAATTAAGCGAATTTCACTACACCGAATCCCTGTGGACCAGGGTTATGTTAGTTTACTTTTGTCTGAGGGTTAGGGTTAGCTAACACTGAAAAAGCGAAGAAGCTCCCTCTACCAGCCGTCTTCGACGTAGATTCGTGTAAAATTACCTCTAATGTCCTATCTTCTAGACTATCAGATAAGTCCGTAACCAGCGCCAGCGCATCGTCTACCTTAGAAGCATCCAAAAGACACAGCATCTTGCTCCCTGAAAAATCAAACAAACTAACAAATTAGTACATCATGTCAGCATTTGCAAGATACGAAACTAAAAGTCGACTCTATGATAGCATGATGACTAACAATTCCACAGCTAAAAAAAAAACTTGAAAAGTATGAAGCTCACAGAGAAGTGCTCTTGGTTTCTCAGAGGAGCTTTGAACTAAAATGCTTCCCCCTTAACCACCCCTCCCCCACCCAGTAAAATCGTAAAGAGGCGACAGATCGAATCACAATTCTTCATATCAAGCCTGCGACAAGCCTTATTCTTTCAGATGTGATGGCATGTTTACAGAGGGAGAGAAACGCGTCACTACACCCTTTGACCCAAGTGTGATTGCCATCTTACTTCTCCTTACAACATCACCCCTGAATCAAAACATTAGGGTCAAGAGAATATAAGAAATGATCGCCAATTGAGGAAGCTCTCGATCGTTGTCCTTGTCAGCACCATGGGAAATGTATAGAGAACAGTACGGAGAATATTTATTCTGATGTTGGGGTGAAAAAGGGTTACCTAAGACGTACAGTACGTTCTTCAAACAAAACTGGAACTTATTTTTATTATTCACCTGAAAATCTATGGAGCAAGGAATGAGAATGTTTTTCCAAGAAATCGGCATTAAACTGTTTGATATCGTTTCCGTCAAGAAGAGTTTTCAACTCTCGTTCTATTACAATTGCCACAGGCTCCTTCATGTGCTTTGACTCAGAAACTGGAAAAGGAAAAACAGTTAATTATTACTAAACAATGATGCGTAAAATTCGACGAAAAAGTGTTCATCAATCGATAGGTTAAGTGTGACAAGGATCTAATTTCGCCTCACAATATCACCCCAAAATCACAAGTTAAGGTCAGGACATTAAAGGAAACGATCACCAACTGGAGAAGCTCTCCATTGTGAAACAAATTCTCCTTTTCAGTACATCAGGAAATATATTGAGGACCGTAAGGAGAAAATGCAAACTGATGTTAGGGTGTAAAGGGTTAAGAATCTTGATTCGCCACTTTCTCATTGCCGTCGCCGTTCTGGTTTTCGTGAGATCCCCTGTTGCTAAGAGACTCAAAGTATCGTGTACTGTCCATTTAAACATTTGTAAAAATTCGGAGCAGAGAGGTTGCCCTTCCAAGCCTATATTCCCTCTTGCCCTGACAAATTAGCAAACAGACCATGGAGTCCACGTTGATGAGCCTCTCACTCACCTTTGACAGCAAGCTTGACTAAGTGTTCATGGAGCTTGGGATGGTTTGCATCTATGGCGTGCGCACGTTTAACAGACTGTAACATCAGCAGAAGTTTGCCTGTAATGTAAGGTTTTCATGTTTGCATAAAAAAAAAATTAATAAAAAAAAGAAAAAAACTAGCTTTCCGGAAAACAGTGCTTGAGGATTGCAAATCAACAAGAAAGCAGTATCGTTTTGACTGTTCGTTACAAATACTCATTGAACGAGCTTTCTGATTTTTGAAAAGTCGTAAAATTTCAACCAGACTACGAACGGTACGTCTAACTCAACTTGCAAGAAAGACTAGTCTGAGAAAGACAAGAGCAACCATTTTCAGTCAGTTCATACATGCGTGTGAGCACTAATGTACCTTTTCTGCTGAACACTTCATACGCCAACAAATGAGTTTCTATTCTACTTGACGCCAGATTTTGTAACGGCCGGAGGAATTTGAGAGCTTGATCTAATGGATCTGTCACCTGGCGAGAAGAGGGTACACTACCGTGAGAACACAAACGACAACCCGGCACACTGAGACATTGTACCGTTAAGAAATTTGGGGCATGTTTCTCATTTCAATATTTACCCTGACTAACGCGTCTGATTCCAACGGAGGTTCTTTAAAGGGATCTGCTTTCTTGTCACTCTCTTTGTTTTCTTTTACGTCATTGGTGGCTGAAGGAAAAAAAAAAATGAATCAGACACTAACGTTAGGATATAGCGAAGAGTGGGGCAACTTGTCTATGCAAAGGTCACACCTATTTTTCCTGTGTCGAAAGCATACGCGCACAGTGTAGTGAAGGGGTTCTGAAGGGCATCTAATGTGCGAAATGCACACCATTAATCTAAAATTACCAACATAATCCTCCTGGATGTGTCATGACACGTAATTCCACCCTTCTGCCTGAGTCTCATGATATAGCAGTGACGTGGAGGTTTCGAGACTCGGGGGGGGAAAGAGAGAGAGAATAGACTATACTAAAACCACCGTTACCATTTCCCTGCTGAAAGGCGGTCATGGTTGAATGACATGGGGGAGGAGGAGGAAGGGGGAGCAACACTTCCTAGTTTCTCACCAACTGGAATCTAAAGTATCGAATGGGGGACGGCTGGCAACAAGAAATGTTTAAATAACCCTACATTCCTGCCTGCTGTTTAAATAACCCTACATTCCTGCCTGCTGTATGTTTCCGTATGGAGGGTAACAAAAAGCCTGGCTTCCTTTATTGTTTTCCATAAAAATAAATAATAAAAAAAATTTTAAAATTTTTAAAAAAAGTAGCATAGCTGAGAGGTAAATACAGGCACTTCCTGGCCTATGGAATCTCACCCTTCTTGCTTTCCTGGGCTTTTTTCTCCGCTCTTCTTTGTTTACTTCGTAGTTTCTTCAAATCTTTGGCTGAGAGCTCACTGGACCCTGCTTCAGCATCTTCATCACTTGCAGTCATAGGTTTATCATGAAGCCGAACATAACACTGTAATGAAGAAGAAAATTAAGAAGAAAATCTATATGTTAGTTCAAAGAGATTGCACTAGCATCAATAAAGAAAAAAAAACACTAAAATTTGCCAACAGATTCAAATTGTCCAAAACAAGACAATTGCAAAATCGTCCCTCCTCTGCTGACAAGCGCTGGCATGTTTAGGTCAGATTTTCTCTCACGAGTTCATGAAGACATTTAAATCTACTTCAGCCAATTTCAGTCTCTCTGCAGTGTGTGTGGATATAAATTTACCTCTATTGCCATTATGGCAGCTTTGAAGTAAAATCGGTGGCTTCGAAGAACGTCCTCAAGCCGCAGCAATCTGAAATAAAACAATTAATTTTTAATCCACTATGACCCTCTGCTCTATTAAGTCTGATAAATTCACGTTACCATCCATCTGGTATAAATGATTTCAGCAAATCTGTCATGGAAAAAATTTAGACCATGAGAAGTCCATCCTTTATGGTGAAATCTGTTGTGCAAACATAGATTCTTTGGTTCTGCTGAATATTTTTGACCGACTTCGTCGAATAGGAGGGACTACCCATAGGCTAAAGAGTCACATATTCAAGGGTTGTCAATTTGTGCATTGTCATCACTTTGTGGCCACATTGTAAGTCCACCTCAAGTTTGGTTAATAAATACCAGTGGCAAATGCCTGTTATATTTAGTTGGGGCTAATACTGTGAAATTGCTTGGGTTGCCATGATTACCCAATGCATTCAGACCCAGTTATTGACTCCACCAATCTCAAAAGCACCTTCCCCTCCCATGTATCTCTTCTTGAATTACCCAATGTAACCACCTCCTGGAAATAAATACCACCTGTTAGCTTTGTATTCTTAAAGACAAGAACCTTACCTCACATAAGCTCTAAGAGTCATTTTCCTCATACAGTAGGTATGAAAATCAAACTGATCCTCTGTAATTTCATCAAAATGTCTCTCGATCTCATGAGCTTTCTTCAAAGCTTCTCCTAGCTTTCCTTGTCTTTGAAGGGCATAACCACTCTCTGTTTGGAACCACATACATTGCATTTCATTCAAGTTCTCAGCAGCACCAACTCCTTCCTGTAAATTTAAAAAAAGAGAATGTGGCCACAGGATTACCAAGATGGTTAAAACGTAAGCTTGACATAATGCATACAGTCTACAGCAGGCCAAACCAAGACATGTCTGTCGATTTCTTCCCAAAATTTTCCTTTGAAACAAAACAATTTAGTGCAGTACAACAGTTACAATGTTTTATTCATTTCACATAAAAACTTAGCACTTGAGAGAGTTTATAGCATTGATCATTATCTTAAAACTTGAGTGCTCCTTCGTTTGTAGAAAGAGAAATACCTTATTAACTAATACAGACTGGTCACACAGATATATGTACATGCCCCGTATTGCTACAAAATTATCATCAACTCCATTTCCTTTATGATCTTTGACATTATTGGTGACCAGTGCAATTGCATCAAGTTATCAATATTCATCCCTTTATATCAAAACATCAATATTCATATTCCCCCCAATGTTTTCTCTACTGTACATTTTCTATAGTACTGATGAGGAGAATTTGGTTGATGATCAAGAACTTCGTAAATTAGCAATCATTTTCCTCTCTTTGAGAGACCTTTACATTTTATTCAAGGGTGAACCCTGTAAGGAGAATTCAAAGGCCAGTTGCTCTTTAGGGTTAGTGTGCTGAAAAAGGACTTTTGTGGTTAGAAAGCTTAGACACTCACCCTAGTGAATAATCCACATGTTTCCTCAGCTTTTTGAACTTGATTGGCTCGCAGCTGGTACTTGGCACATTTGCAATTGACATACCTGTCAGCAGTGTCAAGAGAGCGTGCTTCGTCCATACAATGTGCAGCTTTTTCCATGTCTCCACCATGCTAAGAAATAACATTTGCAATGACCAATGATTATGCAAAAAAGCTCATTCAAAAAAGAGGCAAGGTAAGTCCAACCATGGTAAGAAGAGAGACATTCTTGCAGTGGAATCCATGAGTCATACTCATGCTCATAAGGTGGCAGTAACAAAGGGGAGGGGGGGGGATGGGGAAGGGATGTGATGTAGGAACCCTCCAGAACCCATTGGTGAACATTTCCTTTGGTTTAAACCCAGCATACAGTTGTTAATGTTACATATAATGTTAGTATGATGAATATAATAATATAATCTAATATAATGTTAATATAAGATAATAATGATAATATAATTATAATAATAAAATATAAGTTAATATAATATAGTATAAAGTTAATAAACATGTTACAAATGTTACATACATACAAATGTATGTAAAATTTTGCCTCCTGCAGATCTGCTCCACATGCTACCATGTAAATTATCTTCAAGTGAAAAAATGACTCATTACCGAGACTTAAGCCATCACAGTAGTTTTTATTACCTTATAAATCCTGGCTTTGACCATGTATGCTTCAATTAGAGTAGGTGTGTGCTCCAGAGCTTTGTCTATGTACTCCATAGCCTTCTTGCTGTCCCGTAGATAATCAAAATGCTGGGCTAGGAAGTGGTATACCCACAGGATTGCTGTGGGAGGCTCAAGATCACCACCTGGAAAACAAATGGAGCCATGATGTACACTGTCAGTAGTACGTCTCATAAATTGAAACTTGATACTCAAGACTCAATCCTCAATGAATGAAAATCAAAACTTAACACTAAGACCTTGAAAATTGATTCTCAAAAGTTTTCAGAATCAAGGATTGAGTTTCCAGCTGAGACTGTCAGCTTACAATTGAGTGGTACTATGAATTACATTTGATAGGAGCTTTCCAGGATTTACATATCTTTACCTTAATAAAATATAACAAAGCACTTACCTTTCCCTGTCAATGTTCCAAACGTATTGAGATTGTCCAGATACCCAAGGGCTACATTTTCAACTATCTTTACCTGTAAAGAATGATGGAAGACTTATTATTGCAAGCTTTTTATTGAAATCAACTTGGCCAATTTAGTCAATAAACTAACCAATCAAATATTCAGTGGATTAGTTAGTCAACCACTTAACAATTCAGTCAACCAGTCAGTCAGCGAGTCATACATAACATTCATTCATTCAATTAATCTCTCAGTCAGTTGTGAGCCAGTCACTGTCTCACCCACAAAACATATTTACTTCTCCTTTAATTCTATTGCTTATTCAGTCTCTAGTTGAAAATCCTAGAAATACATCGTGCTTCATATCAACTTGATTTTCCACTTCCTACTTTGTTAGATAAGTCACTGATTGCTTCTGACAGTGTTTTTTACAGTAAATTATGAAACTTTTCCAAACAATACAAAAATTATTTAAAATCTTCTGGGCGCAAATACCTTGTCCTTTTCAGTGTATAAAGTCCTGATGTTGTTAAACAAAGGTGGCACTCCCTTGTGAATTGCAGGTCTCATGTAGTTGTCTATTAATTGAGCAAAAGTTTCTCCTAAAAAAAGGCAGAACAAAGGTTAGTCACATTTCTCACACATAACTGGTATGTGAAACTACAGTATGTCAGACTGACAACCTCAAGCCGATCTTGATTGCAAAGTGAACTAAATCATGGATGATCATAATCTACATCTTAAAATCAAACATTTCACAGTTGGCAAGGTTTGTAAACAATATTGCTTCAATTACAAGATGATGCACCTTGAAAATCTATGAAGTGGGTAGGAACAGACCAAGATGCAACAAAATCAACTGCCTACCAAACATCACATTACCCATATTCAGGTGCCAGTCAACTGCGAGGAAAACATTGTCCATTTACTTTGTTTCACTTGGCCAGCCCAATTACTTCTACTGTACCTGTAATATATGTTCAACTGAGGGGAGGTTGAAAATAGGCCTCAAAAGTACCATGCATGACTGACTTATTCCTAGGGATGATACACATATACACATATCCCATACCTGATGTAAAAGAAAGTGGTATTCTCTTTGGGGCCTGTGCTCTTGGATATAACTCAGAGTACTTCATGTACAGGTTAAATCGGTCATCTGGGTTTTCTACACATAAAACAAAAAAACAAAAACCTTAGTTTATTCTTTGATGCAAGAGAATTAGAAGTAGACTTACATTTAATACTTCCACACTTCTTAAAGAATTTGTTAGTCCCCCTTCCCTCCAAATATAGTGAAAACATTAACACAGTAACAAAAATGCTGATAACATTGTATCACTCCAGTCCGATTACTATGATTATTGAAGTGCCCCATGTAACTCTTACAAAATGTTTTACAGACAGTTCAACACCTTTGTAAACATTCTCTTCAAACCTGAGGCAAATTTTGCAAAAAAGCAAACAAAAACAAAAACAATCGGATTTATCATAACTATCTGTACTTACCTAACTGCAATGCTTTTTCCAGTTCTTGGTAGTAATGCTTATTCTCTGGATTTCTCCGCAGTAAGTCTCTGTAAATTCTCTCTGCCTCCTTGAACTGCTTTAATTCAAGGAGTAAAGACCCTGGAGTAATGCAATAGTGGAGTGACTTTAGCTTCCATGACACAATCACTAAATGCCCTGCACTACATGTAACTTCCCAACTTGTTAGAGAAATGCTATGCACTGAGTTTATTAATTGAGGCTTTCACCATTACAGCACCATTTTTGAGGCTCATATTAAAGTTAACTTTTTTACATTTATAGATAAATTAGAAACTTTTCTTATCAACTGCTAAATCTTTAGTTTCCTGCTTTATCAAGTCTGTGTAGATGTAAATAACTATTTTATGTATTTGATCAAAATAGCTTTTAAATCATTTCAGGAGGAGGTTCATTAAAATAAGCCTTGCGGTTTTTAATGACACTTTGCCAATTAATTGTACTCTTGTACATTGAATAACATTATAATAGATTCATGGCAAAATAATATGCTGAAACTGAAAGTTTCAAAGTTCTCTTTACATACAAATAACTTCCCTTCTAACAGTTTCACTAGTATTAATAAAGATGCAGTACTTGTCAGCACTGATAAAAACATCACTTAGAGTAATAGCAATATTTCAAAAGAAATTTCAAACAACATTGCCAAAGTCATACAAACTCCCAAAAATACATGTAGTTAAAAATAACTATTTCAACCACATTAAAAAAAATAATCATAATAACACTTGGACTTATATCAAAATTTAAACCTCTTACATTTTGACAACCTGACAGTTGCATACAAGCTAGTTAACCTTTTAACTCCCGAGATCTCATTAGTAATTCTCCTTGCTGTCTGCCAAATGATTCTCATTATGTTAGTTTGGAGAATTCTGTATCAGATCAATTAGTGATCCAATAATTGATATTTTTCTTAATTCTCGTCACCTGTCTGCATAACATTATATCAATAAAGTAAAGAGAAATTCTGTCATCATCACTCACAGGAGTTAAAGGATTAAGTTAGATAAGCACTGTACCTTTGATTTCTCGCACCACAAGTTTATCATGCATCAGAAGTTCATAGCTTGTCAACTGATCCAAGGCCTTCTGAGGTCTTCCAGCTTCTCTGAGCACCATATTTTGATACAAGAGCAGCTCACCATGCTCAATGTCATACTTTGGGGAGGAAATCTAATGTAAATGCACAATTATACCATTAAACCCTTACAACCTAACATCAGTATGCATATTCTCTATACAATTCCTAAGGTGCTGATAAGGAGAATTTGTATTATGATCAAGAGCTTATTCAGTTGGTGATCATTTCCTTTATTCTCATAACCTCAATGTTTGATTCAAAAGTGATATTGTAAGGAGAACTTGGATCCTAGTCATTCTTAGGGGTCACAGGGTTAACTGTTACCATTCCAATAAGCAATCTTGCAAATAACCTATTTTTTTATGGTAAGGCATTTTTCAGGTTAATAATTACTTCTAAGCATATGGCTCCTGGATACTTGTAAGGTGTATTGATGTACAAATGTACAAGAGATTGAACTGAAGAAAAAAACACTGAAAGAGAATCCTTACATTTTGAGTTTTGCGAAACTCATCCAGAATTGTGAATGCCATATCATGATCTTTCAGCAAATGGTAGGAGATAGCATATCCAATCCAAGAAGCCCTCTGTCCTGGCCTGAGTTTCAGCAACTGGTATCTAGTTTCCTGCAGCAAATATTTAATAAATAAAAAAAAAACAAACAAACAAACAAATATTAATCAACAACCACAAAAACAAAAACTCACAACAAAAGCTAAAATAAAACAAATACACTAAAACAAAACAAAAATGAATTAAAAACAGGAATATGAGAATTTAAAGAATGACCTTCTGAGTGATATTTCAGATGTTCTCCACTAATCTTTTGGAGACTCATGGCTGACAAGACCATTCAGCAAGTATGTTGGTACAGGTAAAAACCACTCTTAAGTTTATGTGTAAGTTAAAATGAAGTTATAAGCTTTGGAAATTTGATATTCATACAGTACCCTGTAACCCTCCAAATCCCGCATCTGAATCTGCAATAGTGACAGATCTCTCAATATTTGGATATTTTCCTAAAAGAAAACAAAAGATCTGGTTACCCAGGTGGAAATCTTATTAAGATCTTGGAAGATCTTGTAAGATCTTGGAAGATCTTGTAAGAATCTTATAAGATGGCAATTAAGATGAAGATCTTACTAAGATCTTATTAAGAATTAATAATCTTAATAAGATCTTGCCAAATTCTTGAACAAATCTTAACCAGGTTTGAGCATTGTAAGATCTTAAAAGATCTTATTAAGTTTATACAAGAATCTTGTAAGAATCTTGACAAAATTTTACAACACATGGGGATTAAGATCTTGGAAGGTTCTTAACAAGATCTTACTAAGTTTATTTAAGAATCTTGTAAGAATCTCACAAAATTTTACAAGAAATGGGGGTTAAGATCTTGAAAGGTTCTCAACAAGATCTTATTAAGTTTATTTAAGAATCTTTTAAGAATCCTAAAAAAAATTTTACAACACATGGGCATTAAGATCTTGAAAGTTCTTAACAACATCATATAAAGTTCACTTAAGAATCTCAGTTGTAAGAATCCTAATCTTTAAGAAAAGGAAGATCTTACAAGCTTCTTGACAAGATCTTGGTAAGTTTGTTTAAGAATCTTAATAATGAAGTAAGATCTGTAAATGTAACATTAAGATTCTAGACAGGATTTCATCTAAAGTTCATCTAAGAGTTTTGTAAGAATCAAAATTTTAAGATCAGTAGGAATTTAAATGTTCTTGACAAGATTTTATCAAGTTTATTCCAGTACATTCTTGAGTAACTTGAAATGCTTATCCTGTTCTGTTCATAAGAGAGCATGGGGATGCATAAGGCTTAAAACCTCTCACACATGATGTGAAAAATGCCATGTCCAAAAGGGGATCACATAACGTCAAGTAAGCTTCTATGGTATGGTGTGCAAATTTCAGACCTGAGAACACAATATACATGCAGCTGCTTTCTAAAGAGGTAATTGTTCCACTGGAATTATGATATCAGCAGATTAAATTTGGACAGACTTTTCAGATTACATTTGATGATTGATTATGAAATATACTGAACAGCTAGTTTAAATAATCACTAATCATGTTCATAGGGAGTGTCTAGAAAGGGATTAAACCTTCCCATCTTTGCCTTGAACATAAAGACACCCATAGATAATGTCACCACATTCCACAAGCAAGAGACTTTCGCTGATATGGTTCAGAAAAAAAAATATGGCAGTATGCAGACCAGCCAGATGGCAGAGTGAAAAGATGTAATTAAAAAAAAATTCATAGCTAGCTACTTGTAAAAATATTTTTCAAGAAAGTTACATGAAATTTGTACTTTCACCAAGGCATTCCACGCCACTGCGCATACGCAGAATTGCAAATTGTACACTTGATCGTTGTTGTTAACTGTTTTTTTTTTTTTTTGCATCATATCGTTTCGGACAAAGTTTGACAGAAATTCTACATTGGTCGAGTGTTATCTGCCTGGTTGCGAAATTTAACTGTGCCTTACAGCCCTAAAGAAGAAGAATGATTTTGAGAATTAGGATTTTACCGACCAAATTCTTTACAAAATAATAACAAATAAACATCGGAAATTTGCAGACCGGTCAGATGGCAGAAATTAAAAGTATTTTAAAAAGTTTATAGGTAGTTACTTACAAAATACTTGCGAGAGTTGCGTGACATTTTGTACTTTCACTAAGGTTTTCCCCAGTCTCCCTTCCACGGTCGGCGCAAAATTACAAATTGTTCACTCGACCGTTGTTGTCAACCGTTCTCGCGCCATTTCGTTTCGCAAAGTTTTACAGAAATTTTACTTTGGTTGAGTGTTATCTACCTCGTTGTGAAATTTAATTGTGTCTAAAGCCCTGAAGAAGAATAATGATCTCGAGAATTAGGATTTTACAAGCCAAGTTCTTTACAAAATAACTAATGTTACTGTCGCTTAAAATACAGAAAATAACGCAGTCGGTAAGTAACATGAGTTTACAGCACACCAGAGGAGATAAATCGCGTTTTGCTTTTCTTGGGAAAGAACACTACGATTACACATTCAAGGTTGCGATATCCTTGTTTTATTCTGTCACGTGAAGGGGCCTCAGGTGAATAGTTTACACATCTAAGCACATAGAAAGCACACGTATGATTGTGCACGACACTCGCTTTATAACTCAAGGAACACATTGGTCTTGGTAGTTTAAGTACCTTGAGAAGATTTCTAAAAAAACCACTAGTGCACGACTGGTAATGAAGCAAATGAAGGCAAATCATCCCGAAGGTAAGTGCAACTGACTTTTATTCATTAAGTTCACGTTATCAACATTATACATCTGGAAGGTGATGCGATAGACTTATTTCTCGCACTTTTTAGATTCTTTCAGCATGGACGAAAAAAGTGACGATAAGTTTATGTAATTGCAAGGCCACGGTATTTTTATACAAGGCAAATCATAAAATCTCGTTAGGGTTCGATTTCGTCAGGAAGCGTTTTTGTTTAGAATTGAGTGGAAACTGACACGAGATGTAACGCTATCATCATCAAAACCACGTAACGGCGGCTGCTAACCTTACTGCACTTGTAGCAATTCTCTCAAGTCAGTTTTAATCCAGATTGTTCTGGATTTAAGTGTTGTAGGCAGAATCATCGTAGCTTCCAGTCGTCTCGCATGGAAATGGTTCACAATAAACAATTAATTTGTCTTCGGCTTTACTAATAACCACTAGAAGTTAAACTAGAAGGGTGCAATAACAACGCGAAATCGATTATGGAATTCCTTTATTCCCAAATAATGAATTATAAATTGCCACGTTCTACTTAAAAGTTTCCACTGGTGAGGATGATGATGAAAGCCAAACTGGGTTTGATTATCACGGCCGTGTCCACAGTAGTGGAAATCTTCCCAAAGCAAACAAAAATTACCAAAAAATGGGAAGTTCTTCTGATGATGTAAGAACTCTAAATACTCAATGTTGGTACATGATAGTTCATTCCCCCCCCTCCTTCAAGACTTCATTGACTTAGATGGCTTAAGGCAGAATTTTGGCAGTGTTATCCTGTTAATTTTACTCTAATACATTCAATACCTGTATTAATTCCATGCAACATTTTTTGTATTTTGTTTGGTTCTGTTTAGTTTTTATGTTTTGTTTTGTGAATGTGTGTGTATTTTTTTTCTGGTTTTCATTTAATGCTGATTTATGATTCCTTGTTTCCCTTTCTCACAATTTTCTTTGTTCTAAAGGTTAATGAAACTTAATTCAGTGGAGGGATTGCTCAACAAATGTAAACATTTTTTCAATTCATATTCACAGGAGAACTGGAGAGATAGGATCACCTGTAAAAATGATTGTATCCTGAATAAAGTAGACTTTGAGTCCCATCTTAATGCTACAAGCACAGAATGGGATAGAAGGGTGGCAGCTCCTCTGATTGTAAAAAGGTAATTTTTCATTAATCAACTTTTTGTGGGAATTGGGAATAGCTGTTTCAGCAGTGCAAAGCGTAAACAAAGTTTGTTGGATTGGAGTTGGGCAGTGCAAATTGCCAAGATTCATAACTGGGAACTTGTACATAAAAATTTTGCTCTTAAAGATGATAAATTCTTGTTAAAGATAGTCACTACCTCCTTTTCTTTGCATACAGATGAGGCATGATGGTGATCAAGGAGAACCATTGAGAAGCTCCTCCCCTCTATCTTAGTAAGTACTCCTCACAAGTCAGGCTACTGAAAGATGGAATTGAAGTCAGAGCAACAATTCTACTGCAGACAATAGATTATGATACTTAATTATTTAAACACTGAGGGTTTTTTTTCCAATCTTGATTCTTGTCTCCTAACATGTTACATTTCATTTTAGATGTACAATGAAACCAAACTCCTATTACTCCTCTCTGGCAGGGATTTTAAAAAATACGCTCTCAAGGTTTTAGTATATTTTGTACCTGTATACAAATTACTATTTTCTTTTTTTCTTCCCACAGGAGCCATAAAACAGAAATTTGGTGATGCCCAAATGAATAAGAGATGGTCTCAAATAAGGCTCTACTTGAATAAAAAAATTGCTTGGATTCCAAGAGAAAAGTTCAAAATGTATAGGGCAATGTTGACAAGTCCGTAGACTGAATGAACTAAGGCTTGGTTGATATTTGTACAAAATTGAAACATATGCAAATTTACTTGTCAAGTAGCTGTCAAATTGACTAAAATGCCAACTTAGATGAGTGATAGTGAGCTTTAATTCTTTGAACACATTTGCTGCAATACAAAATTTTGTTGTTGTTTGTTTTGTTTTCATGCTTAAATTACTCTAAAAAAAGAAAAACTATTTCAGTTGAATCAAACAAAGAACAATTTAAAACTGGGACATGCCTTTAGTTATTATGGCTTTTTTGTGAAAGGTAACTATGGTAGTTCAAATCAAACTGTCAAATGACTCCAACAGTTAAAACAATTGTTTTTTAGATTTTTAAAACACACCGAAGGGAAGAACAAGAACTCCTCTTGTACAATTGTCATTTAAATCGTGCATGTTTACCAGTTAACGTTTCTTATCAGGATCTTTTTTAGTAATTAATTTCACAGTGTTGAGAATTTGAAATAAATTTTGCTTAAATGTTGGATGAAGAAATTCTTTCTTAGTTGTGATCTCCATTCCTCGATCATCCAGTTACTGCATATTGCATAAACCATCAGTTACCTACTATGGTCTGAAAAAAATGTGATATTTAAGAATTTTTACAGATTCTGCAAAAATTCTTGTAAGTTGTTTGAAAATCTCACAAGTTCTTGTAAGTTCTTTTAGAGATCATTAAGACATTGTTGAGAATCTTAACAAGTTCTTTTGAAAACTTGTGAAGGTACTTAATTAAGATTCTTGTCACAGGAATCCTACCAGATCTTGTAAGATTCTTCTAAGTTTCTTACTAAGATACTTATCAAGACTCTAAGTTAAGAATCTTATAGGATCTGGTAAGATCTTGTCACAAGATTCTTACAGGAATCTTGTAAGATCTTACAAGATCAGGTAAGATCTTGTCACAAGATTCTTACAAGAATCTTGTAAGATCTTGTCACAAGATTCTTACAAGAATCTTGCAAGATCTGGCAAGATCTTACCACAAGATTCTTACAAGATCTTGTAAGATCTTACAAGATTCTTACAAGATCTTGTAAGATCTTACAAGATTCTTACAAGATCTTGTAAGATCTTACAAGATTCTTGTAAGAATCTTGTGACAAGATCTTACAAGATCTTGTAAGGTCTTACAAGATTCTTAATTAAGAATCTTAATAAGAATCTTAGTAAGAAACTTACAAGAATCTTAGTAAGATCTTAATAAGATTTCCACCTGGGTATGCAAGTACATGTAAATGTGTTATTACTGGTACAAATTTAAATTGTTTAAGCAATAACTTTCCTCCTGGAGAAAATTCCATATTTGAAAAATGGAACATTGAACAGTAAAGATATGTGCATAGATACCCCCGACCCCCAACAAAAAAATAAAATAAAATAATAAAATAAAGTTGTACATATGCTTAGCAAAGTGAAAGGAAAAAATTATACATAAAATTCAACCAGTTTCTATAAGCCTGATACCAACCTTGTCCCATTTCAGTGCATTCCTGTAACACTTGATTGCTTCATCATATTTTTTATCAGATCTTTGTAACAGTCCATAAACATGCCAACCTATCTCACAGTCAAGGTAAAAGTGACAAAACACAACAAGAAAATGTAACTCTTACATGTACAAATGCACAAGTCCTGACACATGTCTATCTATAAAATGATCCATATTAAGCTGGCTGCTTTAATTGCACACAAGAGAGATAACTGGAAATTAGTTTCCAAGACTTTCACTGTGACTAGTCAGCTCTTAGAGAGATATCACCCATGTGGCTTTCCAGCCATGAGTGCATAGTCCAGGTCTGTATCAACCTTGAGTGAATTGGTGAAAAGGAAGAGAGTGAGGATGTGGAAAGAAACAAAAATACATTCAAATAGTTTGGACATTAATGATCTTACCACTCAGTATTTAGAATAATTCAAGGTACTTGGAATTCTATTCTTATGGGTATTACATATTCCCTCTGAAGTCTTTACACAATTAAAGAAAAGGAAGACTGTTAACTCCTTAATATGCAGTATGAACAGTGCCTGAATAAATTGTTTTTGTCTACCACACTAGCCACTATTTAACAAGAAAAAAACAGACTTCCTTTAATTTCTTTGGGTTTTTTTTTCTATTCTACTTGCCTGTTGGCATTAAGTCAGAGCAATCTAGTTGCCAGCAATGAAGATTCCAACTTATTGGCAATAATTCAGATATAATTTTAGAAGACTTGTGCCCTTACTGTTCTGAACCATTTTGCTTCATTACTCAAAAGTGGATATTTGCAAGATAAAATCTACCTTTAGCTGCCATCACTGGTATAGACCATGTATAATGAAAGAAATGACTTTTTGGCAATAAATTCGAAAATGTGCACAACATTGGCATCAATGAAACTGAAAAAACGGTTATGAATAAAACTGCAAAAATAGCCATGTTTTCACAATTCAAATGAAACCCTCAAGGTAGAAAATCATACATGAAGCAACAACAAGTTGTGTGAAAAGGTGAAACAAGACGCTACAATGTAACCCTGTTACTTTGGAGTGTGTCACATGATTCATGTAATTGGCTCAAGGACACCTGAAGCTCAAAAAACAAACACGCGAGTAAACTATGCGATCTAATTGGTCTTTTACCAAGTAACTATCTTTGCGGCTTTTTTCACGATGAAGTTAATGTAACAATTTTCACATGTAATTTCAAAACCTGACAAGGATACACACATGACTCTTAAGGTCATTTCGCAAACCTCGTCGGACAAATTCATAAGCTTCTTCCTTTCTCCCCAAGCAGTTGAGAGTCAAGCCTTTCATTGCCAACGTTTCTGCATTACCAATAAAAGAAATTCTAAGTTAAAGACCACGTAAAACGCACAGTCAACGATCTAAAGAAGTCGACAGAGTGCAGATAACGTTTTAATGTCAGCTTATCAATGGCCACTAAGTAATACGTACACAGGTTGTACAAATCGATTTACATGCGGATCAAACGTAAACAATTCACAAACCTCCGTGTTCCGAGAACTTCGGATTGGAAAGGATCTGCTTGGCGAATTTCAGCCCATTTTTGTACTGCTTGTGTTCGTAGCATTTCTGCAAAAACACCGTAACGAGGAAGTGAACACGCGCCGTGAAATCGACAAGGCGTGCTCCAGTCATAAGAAGCGATCTCTCGGAGTACCAATGCTATTAGAAGCCTTAACAAAAACTTACCAGTATTCTTTTGAACAGAGCGTTCTCTTTGGGTGGTAGGGTAGTCGGCATGATGGTGGACTACTCAAGGACAGGCCTCTACCACCGAAAGGTCAGATTTGCTGGCCGGCCTCGTGGAACGAACCAAAATGGCGACTGCATCGATGGCTGATTTATTACCCGTAGTGCTTCGGGACACTGAGTAAGTCGATTGATTGAGTGACCAAGCCTGCTCTACCGACAAGTCTTGAGATCTACATAAACATGCATCAGGGGTTATTTTTCCCGTAACCTTATCCGTCAGAAAAAGAGAAATTCTACATCCTAGCTGAAGGATAGTATAGCGTTTTCTCTTTACCGTTATTTCAAATATTTCAAAGTCGCCTTTTGAAAATAACCTTTGTCCTCGACCCAGTTTTCCACCCACTACCAACAGCCACGTTCATAAGCAAGATGGCGGAAGAAGATGTCGTCAAAGAGATAGCGGTTAGTGACTTTCTTATAAAGAGCAAAACTGAGCTGCTTGCTTCCTACTCGACTTACGCTTTATCAACTTGCATACGCTTATTTAGATCAACAGCACAAACCAATTACGTCAATTTTTAGTCATAAATCAGTGTAAAACTCTTAAATAAATGCTGGTCGCTTTGGAATAGATATTTTTTGGAAGCGATCGAGTTTCTTTGAGTATTTAAAACTGGGATTGAATGAGTCTGAGTTATTTAAAAAACAAAAGAGTTTAAAGACGCTCAATTATGTCCCTTAGAGTAACCTACTTTGTATCTTTACCATAATTTATGAAGATTATTACGGTAACTGTACTTAAGAAAGTACGATGAACAAGGCCGCTTCTTTAAAATCGTGGACAGGACTTTTCTCGAAAAATTATTCCTCATTCTCTAAAGTCACAGACCGTAGTTGCCACCGAATCTTGGATTTTTTTTTTGTCATATTTCAGACTCAGCGATCATACATGAAAGTAGCTAGATGTGACTTATTTAATTTTGCAATGTGCACTCACTAGCAAAAGCACTCTGAATGCTGATTGAAATGAGGTCCCTTGGCATATTATTTTGGTGTAAGAAGTCTTTTATTTTATTTAAGAAGGGCTACCCTAGCTTCTCTCCAGAGAGTGTAGAATTCCAGCTGCAAAGTTAGATTGAGGGAAGTCGACATTTTATTGGGAGAAGGAGGGGCAGGCACCAGAACAACTAGATTGGGAAACAGACTAAGACTATTGCAGATAATTTTTTGTCATTCGAGATGTTTGTTAATTGATTGTTTAACAATTTTGAGACCAAATACTGTAGACAGTCAATATATATTTATATATGCATTATATACATGTATAAATTTATATTTCACATTACATGTAAATTAACCCCTTAACTCCCAGACCAAATTTGTAATTTTCTTTACTGTCAACCATACAATTCTTGTAATCTTAGTTCAGAGAATTTAGTATTGGATTCTTTGATACTTTGATTTCTTTCAAAAAACTTCTTGTCTAAAATTTAGCTGCTAAATTCAGGGTGTGGCTTATCTGCGGGTTTTTACGGTAATTGAAAATTCCCCCAAACAATGTTACTAGATAGTAGATCTTTTGTTGACATCAGGCAAGGGGGAAGAGAAGTAAGGGTTATAAAAAAAGAATTAAAAGTACTGTAGTAGGGTGTGCTTAGACTTTTGCCTGTCATTGTAGGCCATTGTTAGCTTGTGAGCTACTGCCATTAGGTTTGGTATTATTTGTAGTATATAGTTAAGATGTGAACCAGGACATCAGTGACACACTTGGCTGTACATCGCGTGCTACATTTTTTTTCCTGTCACATTTTGACCTCGTCTGCTATCTATCACAAAAGAAATGGGTTGCAACTTATAGATTGGAATCTATTTGCAATCAGATTAATTGTACAAAAATTTATTTCAGATTGAAAGTAATGGGTCTATTCCAAATGCAAAACCACTCAGCAAAGAGGAATTATGGAGGTAGACTTTCCTTGCTTTCTTACATGTAGCAGCATATTGCACAAGGCTTTTGAATTCATGCAAGAATAGCCTTTTAATTACCTAAGTTAAAAAAATTGGTAAGTTTTTTAGGGGAGTCATAAAAGACAGAATTCTTAATCAGAAGTCAGATGGTAGGTAGGAATTAAATCAGCTTTAGAGTAAGACCATCTTTTCATGCACAAGGGATTTCAAAAGGTTTTGAACCATATGAAGTAGGGAGAATGCATGAACAGTGTTCATGTAAGGGAACAGGAGTGAAACATGCAAGCACTTTTCCTTATGTCTGGAAAGTACACTGTATGTGGATACCAAACTAACAAAATCTGATTATCAACTCTCCCCAATAGTTTCCATACACTTCAAGATAATTACGTGTTTATCAAGACAATGCCCTCTTCCTGACAAATTTCTAAGGTTCAAAAGAATTGTTATAAAACCCAATTCTTACACAGACTATAAGACAGTTTTTGTGTTAAATCATAATTATGCCAAATTGTAAATTAAATCATCTTTTGTTTTATGTTTTACAGGATAGAGCATGAAAAATTACATGCTAAACACAAAGGACATGAAGCAATGCACATGGAGATGGTTCTTATTTTATTTTCTACTCTAATAGTTGCACAGGTTCTTCTGGTAAAATGGAAAAAACACTACTACAAGTCATTCATGGTGAATAATCAATTTGAATCAAAACTTGATTTTAAGAGTTTTTTGTTTTTACTTTAGCATAATATCCACATGTGAATGCAACCTGAATTGCTGTGGGCAAGTCTCGTCTGGCCAACATGTATACAGTCCAAGTCTTTAGGTCTTTTAAGACCAAAGTGGTTTATTTAAGCAATAAAGCACATTTTTTTCTGTCAGTTTAACAGTGTAATAAACCATGAGATGTTGGAAGAACAGGCAAAAAGTTTGTAAATGAGCTACCGCAGGTGAGTGGTTTACAAACTTTTCTCATGTTTTGCCAACATCTTTAGTGGGTAATTACACCCCTAAGCGTATAGGAAGTGCAGTCTATTGCTTTTATTGAATGGCTACATGTATGGGTTTACAGAGGGACAGTGCAGATTTTGACCCAGCAGGGCACTTGTAACATCTCAATTATTTTCTGAACTGCTGTAGAAACTACTCTTGCAATCTAGAAGTCAATTTTTTTTTTTTGAAAATGTAAATTTAAGAAACTATTTGGAAGTGTTGCACAGAAATTTCATCCAGTGCATCTCAACCTTAATAGTTAAGAACCTTAAATGATTGTGATTAATATCAGTTTTTTTGCTGATAAATGTACACTGTCACAAAACTATCTGAAATGAAATAGCCTAGAGTAAAATGTTTTTATTTATTGAGACATATTATGTAGAAATACCAATAATCATCTTCTCCAAATAATAATTGATTACAACATTTTTGTTTTCTTTCTTATTCAAGACTGTGACCCTTGTTGGCATGTGGTTAATTCCTCTTTACTTCAATGTACAACTCAAGTTCTGGCGCATGTTGTGTGCATGGGCTTTATTCTCTGTTTTAACTGGATTTATTGTTTTCAAGTCCACACGAAAACCAGTAGCACCAAGTACCCCTAGGTAAGTAAAGAAAAATGTTAAGAATGCAAACAGAGGTTGAATTAGGTTTTAGTCAGGGTTTTGACTGGACATGAACTTCATATGATAAATAGAAGTCATAAAACAGACCACTAAGTGTTCTTGAACAAATAAGATAAGACTGGTCAAGAACAGAAAAAGTTAAAATTAAATTCATGAATTTGATTTTTTATTGTTTTGTAGAAGGTCTCAAATTTCGCATGAACATGAAAGAATTTTTGATATTATTTGTGATGCATGAAAAGGCCAAATAATTTTATGTGACTAAGTTTTACAAAGGGGTATAGAGAACCTGCTTACAGGCTAAACAGAAAGTGTTAACACTTTACTCCATAACATCAGTGTACATATTCTCCATACTGCTTTTTAGATATTTCCTAAGTTCTGACAAGGAGAATTTGTTCAGCAATCAAGAGCTTCTTTAGTTGGTGATCATCTCCTATATTCTCATGACCTTGATGTTTGATTCAGGGGAGTTACTGCATGGAGAAATTAGATGTTAGTCAGTCTTAGGGGTGAAAGGGCTAAATGGCTTGTAACTAGCTTTTATTGAATGTAACATTCAAATATGATCTGTTTCTCTCTACAGACTAGTGTACAAGTGGTTTTTATTTGTGCACAAAGTAACCTATGGCCTGGGAATATTAGGCTACGTGATTGTTTGTATGACCATGCTAGGAATGAATCTGATGTTTGCAATTAAGCCTGATACAGCAATGGAGTTTGGAGTGACAGTATTATTCTACGGACTTTATTTTGGAGTTCTTGGCAGAGATTTTGCGGAGATTTGTGCTGATAAAATTGCATCCAAACTAGGAGTAAGTTTGAGGCTATGATTATTTTACCTTTTTTTTAGATCCTAATTTCTTGTTGTGATATGCTGTCAGCTAGACTACATACCCTTGTACATACAGTCCCTCCTCTTCGGAGAATTGTGTCGCGCAGGTAAAAGAAAAACAAGCTTACTCACAGGCTAAACAGACAGTAGGAAGAGGTCTTATTAGTGGCGGTAGATGGACAGTAACTGTCCTTTTTTAAATTTTATGATACTGAAGAGGAGGTTTTTTTGTAGATACATGTACATTAGCTGTATCAGCAAGTACAGTATGCACTTGCCATTTGATCACAAACTAGCCGGAAATATGATATAAGCATAGGATAAATTCGTGTATTTGATATATCTCGCTTTGTGGTTTTGTTTAGTACACAAGTAAAGGTGGCCTTCCAAGCAGAAGTCTGGAGACTAATATTTGTGCAGTATGCGGCCAGGAGCTTGTGTTGCGTAGTGATGAGGATGAGGACGATGGGCCTGAGAAAACTTATAAACTTACATGTGGTCATTTGTATCCTTACCGATTGTATTATAAAATCTTATGATGCTGTTTGATGCAATACGCCGATCACTTCGAAGCTTCAACATACCCCCCCCCTCCCCCCCGCGCAACCGCTTGGGTATTGAACTGTTTAAGATTGGCTTGTTCAAATTTCCACCCCCTCGGGCAAAAATTAACTTCAAATACCCCCCCCCCGTTCTTTTTTAAAAGGCAAAATCAGCGACCGTGACTTTCTACAAATTGACCAATCTTTAAAACCTAGATCTTGTAGACCTTTTCTTCTGAGCCGTTCGCTCGCGAAACATGTGCATTTAAAGATATAACAGCAGGAAAAGGCTCAACACATCCGGTTCAAATTTTCCACTCTAGCAAATAACCGTGGGTGTGTAGACTGGTTAGACTGAATTTTACCGATTTTAAGACCATCAGTATTCTGTGGTGTTTTTGTTTTTGTTTGTTTTTTTTTTTAGTTGCTTGCTTTCTTTGCAATAATTTTTAAAGGATAATCTTAGTAGATGAATTTGTTGGTTGTTAGTTCAGTTTACAACAAGTCAAACCGACAAATTTATGCTTTAGTCCTGATTCTTAACAAAACACAATTCAGATTTCACGAGTTCTGTATTCGAGGCTGGTGTATTGTTGGAAAGAAACAAACCTGTCCTTATTGTAAAGAGAAAGTGGACCTCAAGAGAATGTTTTGCAACCCGTATCCTTTTTAAATGGTCATTTGTTGTTGGTTTTTTTTTTCAACTGGATGGTTTAACAACGGAGGAATAGACGATCAGACTTGACTAGCATTCTACAACCATTGATTGATTTAAGTTTCCCTTGCTCATTTCTCGTGAAGCATGGCAGTGATCGGGCAGGTAGGCCTCTCCAATCCCTCCTTATGTTTGTTGCCCTCTTGGCGGAAGTCGAATCAAATGACATCTCACGTTGGTTGTGCATGCAACTCGGTTTAAATTATTGGCATGAAATTAGTGGGCGAATTTGTTGAGTTAACAAATAGTATCATGCACGATAATGCCCCCACAAACGATATACTTCGTAACTGAGGACCTAGCTCGAAATTTATCATCATTCGTTTGCTATTTATTCGCATGACGCTGTCGTCATTGCTGATTTTAACAATGCGCAGGACGCTTGTCACAGGTGAATCTAGGGTAGGCCTCAGTTCGCTCACGAGTTCTTTCTCCTTCAGTGGTAGAGCATCAGCCTTGTGAAATCCGCAAGTGTGGGAGCGACTGCTTGTGGGGAGCTCAGGTTTTCTGTGTCCCACACTCGTGCCAAAACGAATAGTATTTCATAAACAGCTTCAGACAGCGGCTCATGCGTTGTCTTGGGAATATATACGAAGAGATTTTCCTAATTTTTAATTGGTTATCATTCAATCGCGAGACGTCGTAAGACGTCGCGAGTTCCCCAAACGTCCATTATCATGCCACCTGGCAACGTCGAATCAGCCGGGCCATGGAGGCGTCAACGAATAGCCCCTCCCCACACATTTCTTTCTCTCTGCCAACGATTCAATGTCTTTTCCTTGACCATTCCCTAGGTGGGAGCGCCCTCACGTCCTATTTGGACAGCTGTTGGACTGGATCCGATATCTAGTTGTTTGGCAACCCATAATAATAGTTGTAGTTCAGATAATAATTTATTGTTTAGGGTTAGAGTAGCTACGGCCGCTGTTTCTTCAAAGAATGATTTAATCTACCAAAAACTCGCATAAATTTATTGTCAAACAAAGTTTTATTTGCCCAAATTCAAAAAGCAATTGGAAGAAATGCCCAGATGTTTGTCCCGTACTTTATTATATCAAGAGATTTTTTTAATGGTTAAAAGTATGGTTCCGTTCGTAGTTTGATTTTCGAACTGGAACATGTATTTATCTCACCAAACAAAACGTCGTATTCTTTCGTTCAAAAATAGTATGAAGAGTTATTTTCAAAGTTTTGCTATTATCTTTTCCCTCGGTTTCATCGCAGAGCTTGCGTTTTAATGGTACTTTCATGTATGACCTTAAAATACTAACCGATTTTTACGCTAACAGCTTCGATTTCTTCGTAGGTGAGCATTTTAAAAGTGTTTTTGCTCTGGAAGTAGCGAATATTTTCTAAGACCTACCACGGTAGGAGTTTGATTATAAATAACCGCATGGGTCACTGTTTTGTTCCTAGCTGGTTTCTAAAAGTGCCAGTCACTTTTGTCTTAAACTATCGGTGTCACTATTTCTTTTCTGATTGGCCGGCTAAAAGCACACAGCTGTTCCCCTTTGGCGTACTTTCGTTACGCAATTAGAGACCAAAGGTTTATTTCAAGTGGCGCACTCTAAGGCCGAATTACGGAAAAACAGTTTTCAATTCCTAGAGCTCAAAGGGATCGTTTGCTTTGAATTAATATTTTAAAATAAGAGAGTGCTCAGTCTCTTTATTTCTAAATTTCAATCTGTCTTTCTTTGTTAGTTTTAATAAATTTCAACTTTGCTGTCTAACGATTACTTGAAATGTATTATTGTGAGTGATAATCCTAACTTTATCAGAATGTTTTTTTATTTTTTTTTTTGCAAAGGAAACTCTCTTCCTTAACTCTCTGTCGGCGAAATAAAACGTTTTATCCAGCACAGTTGTTGCACGCGTACGATAATCTTCTAGGCCTTGGTTTGTTTTATCTTTTTTTTCGGCTTTCGGAGAAGACACAGACCACGGCCTTTATGATTCTCAGAGTTATTCTGAATCTTATCTATTCTTAATCCAACAAACACGTTTCCTGCCATCTGAAAGTTCGAAAAAAGAATCTTATGAGAATCGCAGTTGGTGGGCGAACTGTGCAACTGACATCTCCGATTATATTTGGATTTGATGGTGCAACCAAAATCTTATTTTTGATCAGCAGACATAATAATCTCGCATATTGATTTTCGTTTTTAGAGGAATTAAATACAGAATTTCTCGCAATAGTATCTGTAAATAAATGAAAATTAAGTTTTTGAAGGCATATAGAATATTTGGAGAAGATTTTATTAGAAGCATGCAGGAGTTCTGATGAAAAACAGAAGTAGGAAAACCTGTCATAATATTGCATATTGATCGACGGAACAAAGATAGCAGCTTTATATTAGAAGGGGGCTTTGGTGGAATAATAATAGTTAAGATGATCCTATTCGGCTTTTCTCTTGCACACCTTTTCCATCGCCATTACGTGAACACCGTTGCAATTAATTTTAGTGAAAACAAATTCTGATTGTGCTGAGTAGGTAGAGCAAAAAAAAAAAAAACAATTTCCCTCCAAATGAAAATCAATTTCCTGCTAAGAGAGGAAATTGCGATCTCCGTTTGAAGGCCGAGGTACTCAGTGAAAGAAATTACCAATTAGTCAACTTGAAAGGTTTGGTGGAGAAAACATCGCTCTTTTGTAATTTACACGTTTGTCAAATGAAATAAAGTAACTGGCGCCGGGGGAGCGTAAGTTAATTCGAAGTGGAGGAGTGGTGTGAATGTCGACAAGCAGAACCTCCGTTTTCTTGATTTTCATGGTAAATAAATGAATTATTTCGTCTGAAAGTCATGCCCAGCTCAATTACAGATTTTTAAAATGCAAACCTCTTTTCAGAAAAGGTAAAAAGCTTTCTGTATTTATATTAAAAAAAGAAAAAATTAAGAAACTTTCCTCTATCCTCCTCCTCTTCCTCCTCCTTCCCCCCCCACACAACACCGGCAGATCCTTCTAGGGCCTTAAATAAAAACTTAAAAACATAGGCTTCGCAGCTGGCCGTCAGCAAAAAAGTTTATCTGATAAACTTATTCCGACAAAGCATAAAGATAAGGAACGGAAGAAAACCTCTGTAGTTACGTGAGGTTGCCATAATACATTGCTATCTTCCTAAATGGAGAACTCGAGTCTAACTTTAGCTCTAAATTCATCAGCGTCAAAATCAGGATGCGATGAATGGTTGGACATGATCTTTTTAGTGTTAGACGGATTATTATCAGGCGTAATTATAATCGGCAATGGAGTAACTTGTCTTATTCTCCTGAGAAACAGCCATTTCAGAAGCTGTTTTATGAACACTTTCCTCGTAAGTTTGGCTGTTGCGGATATTTTAATGGCTGTGTTTGTGATGCCGGGTGAGGTGATCTTTTGTACAAGTTGCAGCCAACCAGTCAGCGAATATTGCTGGCTAATCGGTTCCGTGAGGTATTTTGTTTTTTCGGCAACGAAACTCAATCTGCTCGCCATTACCTACGACAGATACACAGCGGTGATGAGTCCTCTAAAGTACAACGCAAAAATCAACTTGAAGAAAGTCATCTCGATTCTTTCATTAGTATGGACGTTTCCCATGATTTTAACACTGAGCCGTTTAGTTTGGTGGATCAAGCTACCTCAGCATCAAGCTTTATACGCGGACCGTATCTTTAACACGTGTCTTATATTCTCGCTGGTTACTCTACCTGTTGCTGTACTATTAGTTGCGAACCTCAGGATTGTATTGGAAATCAGGAAACAGCATCGTCGAGTGAACACAATGGACAATGCAAGCGTAACAGAAACTTGCTCAAGTAGCAACAATGCAAGCAATAAGCACAGGCGGAAAACATCGCGTCAGGCGGGAAGAAAGGGAACAACGGCTTGCGTTCTTGTGGTGTTTATTTTTGTGATGTGTTGGTTTCCCAGGGGATTGTATAATATTTTCAGGCTGTTTGGCAAAGAAGAAGGGCCGTTGTTGAGGGAACTAAGCCTGTTTTTCCTGTTTGTTCAGTCAGCCATTAATCCGTTCGTATACTCGTTTTACAGAACTGATTTTAGACGTGCGTTGGTAAGACTTCTGCGATGTCGTTAGTCCCGACTCCTCTCCAGTCTCCTCCACAGCTGCTAATATAGTTGACATGACAGTGACACAAATTATTACCCCCTCCAGCCCCCAACGACTCTTTTGCCTGAACAACTCTGTGTGAGTTGCTAAGGCAAAAGAGTAGCCCCAAGTTCAATCGTTGCAGAGAGAAGAGCCTACAGCACAACCGCAGAGTTCCTAGAAACGTAGGCTACCCTTGAAGCAGGTTAAAATAGATAAGATAAAGACGTAGGAAAATAGATAAGATAAAGATGTAGGCAAAATAAAAACATTGAACAATTTAGACCTTCTGAACATGTAGCTCTTGTTTGGTTGATTTATTCTCGGTACATTTCAAGATTCAAAACTTCGTTATGTATGACTCATTAGCCGGTTGCGTCCCGGCATTTTTTGCTGTAATGACGCCTTAATATCTAGCTAGCCGAAGTGCAGCTGTATTGTGAGATAACAGATATAGAAATTTGGCCGGACTTCCTGACATTAGTAGTAAAAGAAAGGCGGTGCTTTAAAGACAATTAAATGGCTCCGCTATGACAAGGCTAAGTGGTATAATTTATTTAGCTGTTCTGAGGCTATAATTTAATGTGTCTGTGAATATTATTTGTCACCCATGAGCAAGTACTGGAACATCCATGAGAATTATTCCAAGACGTCTATTGCGATAGGCTCTTTGGCGTGCTATGATCGGGAAATATTCGATTCTGTCTCGCTGTGAGCAATGCCAACAGAAGAAATCAAAACTAATCCCAAATACCAGAAGCAAATTGACAAGTCGTTTGCGGTTATATATCACAACCTGAAACGGATACATGATGCCAAGCCAACAGAGGCGAAACAACTCGAAATTACGGACCCTGGTTCGTCGTCACAGCGTAGAAAAAACCGTTCATATTCTTCGCCATCAGAGAGAACTCTCGTGGGTACGGAAAAAACACCTTTGGCAACGACACACCAAAATCCAACTCACTTCATAGTAAAACAAAGATATCTTTCCTCCATGCAAGGTTCTAAAACAGAGGGGCTAAAGAACAGAAGAGTGAGTTTTTCAGTGGACACACTTACCAGTTTTAGATAGTGTTTGAAATGGTACGAGACCCTACCAGACAAGGATCGAAACTTTCAGCCGATGTTCTACACCGTTCATTAACGAAAAAGGTCCGTCCTTGGTTGTAGATTTATCATCCTTTCATCTATCATACCTGTCAAGTGATCGCCATTTTCTGATAACTTAATGAAAGAGTGTGTTTTTAAAGCAGGTTAGCGTTATTATTATCGGGACTGATTTTGTGAAAAGATACGAAATGAGTGAGAAGTGTTTTTGATGTTTCACCTAACTTTTTGAGGTTCTTGGTTAGATAGGACCTATGTATGTTTGGAGGTGGTAGATGGTAGATGCGCTCTTGTTCTGTCATTGTATATTCTGCCTTTCTTTAATGTTTAAATCGCCACTGACGTTCGAAGGGCCACCTCTTACGAGGGGCTCTATAAACTCTATGGAAGGCAGCTTGGAAGTCTTGTCTTAGGGCATTACATATTTTGATTGCCAGACTGATCTTTGTACTGTATCTTACTGTACTGTATCATCAGTGCGTTGCTGCAGTTAAGTAAATCATGCCTGTAGTATATTTTAACGCCGACAAAACTCTCAGTGTCAGAAGAAGACCAGCTATTTACATTTTTTTCTCAAAATTTTACGATTATCAGTAAAAACTAGTCGAAGTCTGCGGAGCAAAAGATTCAAAGAAGCTTGAAGGAATGAAACGAACCCACGGGCGCAGGATCCACGTATTTGTCAAGTTCACCTGACTCGGAAGCAGTCGTCATCTCTTTAGGCAGATCAACAAGGTAGCAAAACCACGATTCATCATGGAAAAGCAATAATTTTCAAGCCTATATTTGTCTGTGATCACTTTTTTTTTATATACAGGAAGCTGGGCATGCATTCCAGTGAACTACTATCGAAAATTCGAGCATAGTCAGCAAGGGACGAGTTTATTTTAAGACCTCATTAGAAGCAATTAAAAGGGTCTTTGTTCACTTTTTTTTTGGTTTAGGCTTTTACCTTGAATACCTGGACAAACGTTTTTCGTGTATGCCACTGATAAATCTAGGTATTGATCTCAAGACAAGCACAACGTACTAAATACGAGACTCGAGAGTGTAACGTTGTTCTTGTTGACAAAGTGCTGCTCATTCAACCATCGTTTGTTGATGGTCCTTAGCGGTGCGCTAATTCAGAGAGCGATTTACAGAGAAGCTCGAGGTGATAAACACACCTAAGCAAATAAAGATTTTAGGCAGTGAAAACGTGGCATAAAATCAAGGATTTTTTTTTAACTTAAAATCATGGTTTTTATAAAGGAACTACCATCTCAGTGAGCGAACTTGCCTATTACGACAACTGGTGCATATAGGTGTTGCTCTCTCTATTGTTATGGATGACTCTCAAGCTAATGGCATTATATGAGTGTTAGTCTGAGAGGCACTAATTTGGCATGGGACCATGATAAACTGCACGTAAATTAAATAAAGCTCTGGATGGGTGAAACTTTCATGGATCCCGCTAAGATATACGTATAAATATTTTACAAAGCATCGAGAAAACGAAGGATCGATCTGGAAGAGTATTGTTTTAGGATATAACCCAGGTCTTTTAATTGCCTTCTTTCGCATGAATAACTTGATATAGATAAGAATAAAATTAATCGTAAAAATGAAAACATTCAAACTAGCCCCGAGGGAGTTTATTGATTCCTACGGATTCCGCAGAAAATTAAAATACATATTATCTTATTATTATTATTATATATATAGATAGATATTTAAACATCCCTCTCCCATGAAGAAATTAGATTCCAGTCTTTCATGCAGGTGTGGTAAATTCAGCCTTTGGCTGTTAATGACGCCCAAAAAGGTCTTGAACTCCAAATAAAAACAAGCGAAACATTTGAGACAATAAAAAGCTCTAAACTGTTACTTAACTTAAAAAACGTGTGTCCACGTCTCTATCAATGTCAAGTTGAAGGTCTTTGAACATGATTGGTTGATTAATCAGACAAGGTATGTCGCACGTGAATACCTATGTAATATTAGACATTTTGGCGTGTAGCATCGATGAGTATTTTCACGAGAGATGCCGTATTTTGACGAGCCCTGCGGGCTAATTAAAATACATAAAGGTAAAAGTACTCAGTGATACTACACACCGAAACGTCTATTACGTTATTTATTATCCAATGCTTCATTCTATCTTTCTTTTCTAAGCAAGCGTAGCCAACCTGTCAATCAGGTGTTTTTTTAACGTTAAAGATAACCACCTTTATTGTAGCGCAGCGCCATGATTGGTCAAATTTCTCTGATCGAACTTTCGCCTAATGCCAGATAGATGTGCACAGCTGAGTTTTGATAATATTCATCTCGAAGTGCTATCCTTTTTAGTACGTTTGAGGGTCTTACATAAGAGAGAGAAAGAAAAGTTGTTTTATTTTATGTACCATCCCGCTGAAGCTCTTGAGCTCGTTTTTAGTATACGAGGTCCTCATTATCCCAATCTTTGGCCTTTAAAATTAATGTGTGGCACGTCTTTCAGAATTCGATCATACGAAGATTGATTTTCTTGAAGGTTTCGTGCGCTGTTATCACGCGGCATCTATACCTTAATGAAATTTATATCTTCATTCCGTTTCTTATCATCCAATCAGGATAAATGAGGGTGAAGCGGGAGGAGAAAAAAAAAAAGACGAGAGAGGGTTTTTATCTTTGCATGTGCGTCACTTTCGCCCTGCCAACGCTTCCCTAGTTTTTCATAAAGGAAAATTTTGTGACCCAGGCTTTCAGTAAATAAAATTATTATTTCTACTTGGTACAGTATTTCCCAATTCTTATCAAGATAAATATTTCAAAATAGTTAATACTCTCCCTATTATCGCAAACAATGGGTATTGACAGTCGAACGAGTATAAGAATAGAATATCAGTCTAACTTGAAAAACGATTTTTTCATCATTTATCAATTTTTTTAGCTTAGCTCTTTATTTAAGGTTAAAAAAACAAGGTAAAAACTTTCACTACATTTTTAAGTGTCGAAATTTTCATTAAATTTTGAAGATACTTCAAATTATCAAATTCACGCCGTTATTTTACGCGACTGCTGAATATTATGATTACAGTTCTAGATGGTCAATAACTTCAGAGCAAACACAGCCTCTACCATGTTATAAAACGCTTTCAAACCAGAGTAATCACAAAATTTCAAGTTGTACACGCGGCGACTTGTCGCAATCGAAGCAATGTGCCCAAGGTTTCCACTTTCATAACCCCCAACTCTTCTTTTTCGCCAGGTATACTTCAGGGCACTGCAGACGAGCCTTCCTGGCTGCACCATGCTAAGCTCTGAAACATTGATTTTCATTTTAAGAGATGTTTGGTGCGCTCATGAATTTAAGAATAGAAAAAAGAATATATCCCATGATTCTTTATGTCTGCCTTACAAGAGATGCTTGCAATTGAGTTGTGAAAGTAAATGTTTGTTTTACAAAACAGACGCATACTCCATACGTGAATATCCTCAAAGCAGAGGTATCACAACCATTCCCTGCAGTTTTTTCAAGTTTGTCTTGGAGAATAAAGGTACTCTTTGTTTGGGTGAAGGGGGACAGAATGAGGGTCAAGTGGGTCGGTGACTGTTAAGTGTCTTGTTAGAAGCAAAAATAACAACCTGACCTGATACTTCACTTGAGAGCATTTGGAAAACAGAAAATAGAGGATCAAGCTGAGGGACTTTAACTTCCACATGAACTTATTTCTATGGTAATTATTCCATTTTCAAATCAGCTATCCCAGGATGACTTAAATTGATCATATTCATTGAGACAATTGAATTCTTCCCGGGAGACTCATACGTCCAGATCCTAAGCTTAACTTTGGAGGGATTAGACCTGTATTAGAGATTGGAGTTCATAGCTTGATCCCTTTTTGACTAAGAAGCATGTTTCCTATCTTGGGGAACTGGTCCCAAGAAAAAAATGTTCACAAAAGACGAAAAGATTGATAAAGTTGCGCAGGGTAAAAACGTATAGTTATCTTTCAAATCGATGATCTTTTTAGTTTTCTCGTTTTGAATCGCTTCTCCTTCGCCAGATTTTGATCTCAACTCAAGTTTGTGGGAATCTTCATGAAAAAATAGGTCTCCGTAATGCGGCATTTTGTTTCCTAAATAACAGAAAGTAGTTAAGCATTAGATTCAGACAGGATACCTCTATCTATCATCTGAAAAGCTACATTGAGGCAGATCTCCAACATTTTCAGGCCTTCAAAACCTAGACCATAGAGGTCATAATGGCAATGAAAAGAGGGGAATTTTTCATGGAGTCAGTGATAACTCAAGGTAAACAATGCAATTAGCCTCAGGCATAGGAAAAAGCGAGTGACAAAGTCTCTACAGTTTTCAGAATGATTTTTTAGAGAAGTAGTGAAACCAACGAAAATCCAGCATGCCTTTGGACACTAATTATATTTGAAAGGAAGAAAAGAAGCCATGCTCCTTCAATAAAAGTACAGGCGTTTTTCAAATCACCTTTCTTTGAGTGAAGGAAGACGCCTACACCACTGGAAAGTTTCCCCACAGCGCGTCTTTGGTTGAACGTTCTTAGAGGTGTAGGGAATTCTGGGAACAACGTGCGGTAGGTAAAGGCCAGGGCTGTTGCTAGGATACCGCCTGTTACTTGGGTTCGAGGTAACTCACTTAAGGAATAATGATCACCAGGACAAACGAGTACTGTGGTACCTCCATCTACCAACTGGCTCCAGACTTCCTCGATGCCGTGTGACGTGGGATTACGGGGAAAAAATCTCCTCTCTTGGCATTTGAGGAAAGTGAGGGGAACCTCGATAGCGAACCTATTAAATATAAGACATGCAAAAATGCACTTAAAGTTATTCTCCAATCATAATCATGTTTCCAATAAATTTATGATGTCCAACGGCTTGATACTCCTTGTGTTATGCAAATGAAATTTGGAGAACCTGCTTACTTACTGTAAGGATATTCGTTGTTCCTTACCTCTGCAGGCTGCCATTCTTGGTGCGTCCTATTGGCAATAGCTTGATTCCTCAGAAGAGCGTCTCTTAGAGTCCATAAATCGTAGGTAGTAAGACCTTTAGTAAGACTTCTTTTCTGTAACTCATCAACCATCCAGTCTTGACTGTGTATCTCTCTTATTTGTCGATATTCGTCAACGGACATCTTTAATGAGTCTACTGCAAACTTTTCCAAATAGCTTTCGAATTGGAGCTGAATAGCGAGATAAAATTCTGTTAATTTTCAACTGGAAATAAAATACTCGTCCTGGATCAAATGTAAAGCTACATAACAGCTGTCGACTGATTGGAATGGTCAGTTAGCAAGTCGATCTAGACAATTCTCCAATTCTCCCCTTTTGGGTTTGTAAATCACTGATCCAATGATCTCCACTAGTTTAAACCCACGCTTTCAAATTATGATTCCATGAAGAAGCATCCTCACGAGTAAAAGGTATTGGAAGAATCACCCTAAAAATAGTCACCCGATGAGGTATACGTAATAAAATATGTAAACAACACCTAAGGGACAACGATCCTCAAAATTACTAATTTGTATTTAGAGATTTTCATTCAAGATGCAAAATTTTTACTTATTCCAACGACAATAATTCGATGTGATATAATAAATATGAATTATTTTGACTGGACAAACCTGAACATGTCGCGATGGCAACCATCCGTCTTTCTTCATGGAAAATAACCTGGTGGTTATGGTCCGTGAGCGCGGTAACCAAGGAAAGGTGTCAATCATAGCAACGAACTCCACCCTCTGATTCTGTTCGGTCAGCAGGGAAGCCATTTCGTACGCCAAAAGTCCTCCATAGGAATATCCACCGAGAAAGTACGGTCCATGGCGCTGTTCTTTGACGATTAGCTAAACATAGTGAGCGGCAAGCTCGCGCACTCCACCCCAGTCCTCACTAATGACCGTAGGGTCAGTCAAGCCCAGAGCATAAAAGGATACTAAGTCCTAATAATGCATGACAAATGAAAAAATCGTATCACAAAATGAGATTTTCGAAAATTATGAAGTAAACATTTATTTTTTGAGGTAAGCCGGAAGCGCAACCAACGTAACCCCCTTGATGATATATTCCGAGGAACCAAAGGAGAAACCCCCACGGGAAAGCCTCTCAAGATTTGGGATGGGAAGCGACCTCGGATGCGTATCGTTACTCCGCCGTAAGGTATACGTTACCATGATATGTAACAAAGACAGCAGAATGTTCCTTAGCTATAGAACCAAATAAATGTAAGACGATTTACCATAAATAATATCCAAATGATTATTGCATCACTGACCACTAAATGAGGGCCTACTGTAATTTAAGACACGGAACAGAATAAAAAGGAAGATCTGTAATTTTGGAAATTAAAGAGTGATTTTCAATTTGCAAAACAAGAATCCGTGTGGATTAGTCCACCGTACAGAAAGATGAGAGGGTCTATCTCAAAACCCTAATTGTTCTGATACAGTGGTGACAAGTGGAGCATACAGAAGTTTCGCGGCTATTCAAGATCAGTGGAGGCGCAAAATGGCCGCTTGGATCGAAGAGAAACCGGAATCCAATTAGGAATATCCAAAAACCACATTGGAAACCAAATCCGAAGCTAATTGAACAAGTGTTTTTGACGAAAACCGAAAACCAAATGTTAAAAAACGGAAAATCCGCAAACCGCAATGAACACGCGATCCGAAAAAACCGAAATTTTTGCACAAAAACCGATCTAAAAAAAATAACGAAAATCCCAATGCCCCCCTCAAGGATGAATCGGTCAGTTTAGTCCACTTGTGTGGCTTACATACACATCCCAAAAAATGATAACGCAATAACCATTATGATTACTTAAGCCTCAACGAAAACATTTGTTTATCTTTTTTATTTTTCAATCAGAAACATGCCGCAAAACAACTTTAGTCTCGCGATATTTCTCGGGGAAGGTGTCCTGTCACGCAATCGAATTATTCATCGACTACGAACATCGATGCTTGACACCTTGTAAATTGCACAGCTGCAGCATCACGGAATCTTTTTTTCCAATTATAGATTTGAATTTTATTGCTAAATGACGCAGTTCTTCCTTTAAATACAGAAGAGGATTTGATTTCTTCGCGATTGTATTGAAGATTTAGCTAAGAACACCACAGAGATGTTCATATTTTCAGTTCGTTTCGTTTCGTTCGGCAAATTACAGTGAGCCCAAAAAAATTCCAGAGATGTGCTCGATTTAAGTGTTAGAATTGAGACTAACTACATCGTATGACATCACATGTTTGAAAGACAGGCGCAAAGAACAGTGTTACAAACGTTAACTCTTTGACTCAGTTGTATCCAATTCTGCGTATAAAGTCCATCATCTGCTACCACTCAATCAGATACAATTTAAAAACCAGTGTAATTTTAAGTTTGGGAAAATGTGCACTAATCGCGACACAACCACATTTATTCCACTCTAGTCCAATCGGTTGAACTTTTACACGTAGTTTTTCTTTTCTATTGAGTCATTTTATATTACATTAAATTGTTTTTGAATAACAGTGTATAAAACTTCAAATAGCTTTTCGCAAATTTCATGCTGTGAATTTGAATATTTTTCATTAAACAAACGATATACCTATAGGAGATAACAGCGCAACAAACAACCAAATCATAGAACGAGCTTGCGCGAATCTAGAGCGCATTCACTCATGATAATATCGACATCCACATCAAAGTACGTACCCCTGAGAAGTGTTCACCGCGGATCTATTCGCTATTTTCAAAGCAATCTATTGGGGTAACTGCATGTGGTTCAACCTCACTCGTCCGACAGCTCCTTTCATATGAGGAACTTTATGTGTTTCCGTGAATTTGAATTAGATTATGGTTATCTGAGGTTATCTAAGGACCGTCTTTCTTGGAAAATTAGCGGAAGAGAAATGTCAAGAGTCTGGAAGCTAGCTAAGTTGGTGACCGCTGACTGCAGCACAAGAGAGTTTCAAAGATGGCGCGAAATGTCGGAGAATGATGTGAACACATCACTTCACTAAAATGGTTTGTTAGTCGTTTTAGTTCTCAGTGACAGTCTTTTAACCGATGTTTTAATTATAATTACATATTTTTCTACATAATATTGGATCGTTCTTTAGCCCTACTGAAAAGACAGCGAAGCAAGACACTTCGAAAGTAGAAAATAAGTGCGGCAAAGATTCTACTGCGAAGTCATTAACGAAACAAGATGTATGAAAGAGCCGAACGAAAACCAAGGTAAGGAATGGATTTTGTAGCATTTGAGAGGGTAAAATTTACGCACAGCCCCATACTACATTATGCATTCAGTTCTTGAATAGAGAAAACAATTACAAAAACAATACATTGCCGTTGGGAAAACAGATTTGTTTTACAATAGTATGGGGCTGTACGGAAACTTTACTGGGGGGTACCTTATTTCGCCAAAATTGGTATTTATTGCCATACATGGTAAACTTTCCTTTGTCATGATTCTATTATTTAGCACATGATGGGTAATTTTACAACATGTTTGAACCAACAATTTCATTTCACTACATAAATCTAACCCAAGGTATCTTTCTAGACTGGAATGTGAGAAATGGTATGGCACTGTGTGTTAACTAACTTTGTAGGTATAATTTTCAATAGTCTGTCGGAGTATGTCAGGGTAGCTGAGTGAGGCTGATAAGTTACAATGTTTGTTTTTTTTTTTTTGATCTTAAACAGGGTTGTAGAATGAAGCAATTTTGTCTTCATCCTTTAACTCCAAGATCTGTTTACTAATTCTCCTCTTTTAGTTGCTACACATTTCCTTGTACATTTGTTAAAGGAATTTGATGTTAGATCAAGATTACAACTTTTTTCATTACCCTTTTGTTGGATATTGTATGAATATTCTAGGGAGAAGTTACATGTTAATCACATCTGGGAGTTTAATGGTTAAACAGCGTGATGTGATACACTGCAGCCTACATGTAAATTTCACTCAACTTCAAAATATCTTGGCCATTAGCTTTCCCTGAAAATTTGTTTAAACAGCAGTTTACTAAGTCTGCAGAGCAGTTGCAGTATGCAATACTAATGCCTATTTCACAGTTTTGACAAGTACTGGTTAATTTTTCATTTACTCAGACTGAAGGGAAAATTAAATTGCTGATGAACTTGAAAGGTGATTGATAAAGAAACCTTGAGACTTCACTTAACCCAGACTATTTTTCCCACAAGCCTGGTGTCTTTTGATTTTCTGAGCTGGAAGAAAATGTTTTGTAAGAAAGTTGTGTTCCTAGGAACAACACCCACCTTGATGTTATCCAATTCTGTATGGTCTGTGTTGTGAGGTCCAAATAACCGCTTTGATCTCACATTTGTGTAAATGAAAACAGTAGTTGTTAATTTGCTGGGCAGGGTTTATCAAGCAGTGAAGATGATGACATTACCCAGAAACAAAAACCAAAAGAAAATCAGAAGAAGAAGAAGAGGAAAGGAAAAAACATTATTGACTCAGGTAATGTTTAAGGTGAACACTTTCTGTTTTTAAAAGAACAGATGTTGAAACTCTACACAAACTGTTACACCTCTGTATTTGTTTGTTGGTTTCAGTGTAAGCTTGGCAGTTGTGCTGTACATTGTCCCTGTCAAAGCCTCATGCAATTTAATTACAGAAACATGGTGTAAAAAGATTCACATAAATATATATGTAACATCCCAATTATATCCTGACCTTATTTCTAAATTTTATGTCTGTTAGATTCTGATGAAGATCCTCTTCCTCCAAAAATAAGGGAATTGCAAATTCTCCTTGTCAGCACCTTAGAAAATGCATAGAGAACAGTATGGATATTATGGATACTGATGTTAGGTATAAAAAGAAAAGGGTCACGCTTAGTTTTATACATTCAGCACCTGGGTCTTTTTCATGATTCTCTGTTTCAGAAAAGCCACATCAGCAAAGAAGGAGGAGAGTTCAAAAGCTAAGAAAAGTAGAAGACCAATAAGCTTGGACTCAGGTAAAGAAATTATGTGTACTTATTGAGGGTACCCTATACTTTTTATATGAAAGGTGGCCAGGAGATCTTATTTTCACAGGAATCATGATTTCATTTTCATTTTTATGTAAAAAGGTGATTTGAAGATCTGATTTTAGCAGGGACCATGATTTTTTTATTACTTTTTTAAATTTTTTTTTAGGATTAGTGGCTTTATTCAAAGGTTAGAAAGAGTTTAAATATGGATTTGGTATGATTTTTTAACTTTTTTGGTTTTATTTATCTTCAAAACATGATCGTCTTGCATTTCATGTGAATGTGAAAGAATTTGGATATTAAATGGTGCATGAAAAGGCAATGTATTTTTATGTGACTGAGTTCTACAAAAGGGTTTTGGGGGACTCTCCTTATTGATGAAGTGGAAGGGCTGGATAGGGAAATATTTGGTGCAAGGTGATCTTGATGCAAGATGAGGTTTTTTTTTTCTTACATCAGGTGACCTTTAACCTTGCTTATGTACATGTATTAGCTTGCCAAAGAAAACAAAGCCATTCTCTTTATCCAGGCTTGAGCACGCTTACCATTAGACCAGTCTGCCTTAAATAGGATTTGAATATCATTGCAGTTGAGTTATACATGTACTTTGATGTGGTTCCTACAGCTGAGGAAGAAGTTGTGCCCTGGAAATTAAAAAATGTTTGCCAACATACAGAAAGTGTAGCTTCTAAAGAGGTCCAGCAAGTTAAAGAGAGGTATCATCCATCATTCTCTTTTGTTGTATATGACATTTCAGTGCCAAACCATGGTGTTCATTTAGAACA